TTCCTGAGTTCTGAACCTAAGAAGACGAGCATCAAGGAAGGAGAAGAGGATATGCTTAGAATCAGACATTGTCATCACCAAAGGCAAACCTGGCAGGAAGAAAAGCAAGACTATCCCAACGCTTCCTTCATTTCCTGAGGGTGAAACGGAAAACACACAGGAAGATCAAAGGAAGCATGCAGTTAATAAAAATGTTCAACCAAGGGTCACCGGACCTTGCAAAGATTAAGGAGTTAATGGATAACACATTCGCCAAAAGAAGAAGAGATGTTGTCCTGAATGACACACGTGTTTGGAAGATCGTTGTACTTCCAAACACGATTTCGGTAAGTTTAAACGCTCTAAATTTGTCACAGTGTTCTGTCTTTGTGAGGCGCTTCAGGATATATTTGTTGTTGTGTTTTGTTTTGTTATTTGGCAGTCATTTCATATCGTATTTTACTGTAAGAAAAAATTTGTTCGAGTTCATTGAATATTTCCTGAAATATATTTGTTGCACATCTGCTACATTGCCACGAAATAGTCACTGTGGCTCAAATTACTTGAAGTTGCATTTAGATAGATTTGATACAAAATACTTTGTAGTTTACTGCCTAAAGTATTCAAGTTAAAAAATTTTGTTTTATACTATAAACATTATGCTGATAAAGTCTATATACAGCTTGAGTATAAATCAAATGAGAGATTTTGTATTAGCAGATATTTTGAATATTGTATTGATTCTTTTGCATATATATTGCAGAAATTGTCTAGAGAAAATCCTAGAAAGTTTGGTTTTAAAGATGCCTTTGATAGAATCTGTAATGGAAATGTATCAGAGTTAGAAGACCTAAGTTCTGATGAAGAGTTGGATGTTGCATCTGATGTTGATGATAATGGTGATTATGTTGGCGATGATGGTAGTGATGATTGTGAAGGTTCTGGTAATAATGATGGAGGACATGAAACCAATACCAAACAGGCTAAAGAGAAAACCCAGTTTCGATGGAGAAAGAAAGACATTCCGACAGCTGATAAAACATTTAGTCCCAATGTAGATAACACTGAAGAAACCAAGTCGCCCCTTGAATATTTCACTTAGTTTTGGACAGATGAAATAATCAACTTGGTTGTGCGGTACTTACAAACCTCTATAGCACCAGAAAACAGGTTCTTCAATCAACACTACAAAGGCAGAAACTGAACAATTTATTGGCATGCACCTGAAGATGGGCATAATCAAGCTTCCATCCTACAAGATGTACTGGTCTCAGAAGATGCGATATCCACCTATAGCTGACCGAATGCCATTGAAAAGGTATGAAAAGCTTAGATCAAACCTTCATTTCGTAGACAACAGTGCTATTGAAGCCAACACTTCTAAGCTGGCTAAGATTCAACCTATAATCGACCTTTTTCGCAAGCAATGTGTGAAGGTTCAGCCAGAAGAGAGCCAGTCAGTAGACGAGCAGATTATTCCAGCAAAAACAAAGTTTAGTGGCATTCGCCAGTATAACCCAAAAAAGCCTGTAAAGTGGGGTTTTAAGAATTTGGTCAGAGCTGGTGCTTCCGGTTTTATGTACGACTTCTACATTTATCCAGGTAAAGATGCTGCTATGGATGAAGATTCAGATTACAAGCACTTGCAAAAGTCTGCTCAAGTTGTGGCACGCTTTTGTGAACATTTGCCTTGTAACAACAGTCATCAATTATTTTTTTATAATTGGTTTACTACCTTAGATTTGAAAAATACAGGCATATTGGCATGTGGTACAGTTCGATGCAATAGATTGCAAGGTTGCGCCTCAGAGTCGAACAAGGAAATGAAGAAAGTGGGACGTGGCGCCATAGATTACAAGTCGGACACGAAATTGGGGGTGATTCTTGTCAAATGGTTGGACAATAATGCTGTCCATATTGCATCCAATTATGTTGGTGTGGAACCATTGGGTTCTGTCGAAAGGTGGTGCACGGAAGATAAGCAGAGAAAGCAGATTCCATGCCCACGACTTGTTTTAGAATACAACAAGGGGATGGGCGGAGTTGATAAGGCTGATATGCTTATAGCATTTACCGGATCTGCATGAAGACCAAGAGATGGTACATCAAGATCTTTTGCCATCTTGTTGATATGGCAAAAGTAAATGCCTGGCTACTGTATCGCAGACATTGTGAACTTTTGGGAATCCCCAAAAAGCAAAGATTGCCTTTTATAGATTTTATTCTTGAAATAGCAGAGGGATTGATAAGTGCTAACAAGCAAGTTCTTGCGGCAACATTAAGTGAAAAACCAGGCAGACCCACCAAGCGAAGGAGCTCAGAAGTTTTCAACCCATCAGCAGTGTCAAAGGTTGGCCGAAAACCCAACACACCATCACCGTTCTATCATTGCAAATAATTCCTAATGATCCATATACTGTGCTTGTTTTATACTGTTCTGATTATAGCTTTATCTTATACTTGTATTATACTATAGTAAATAATTTTTTAACAAAGTTCAGAAGTTTATAGAAAGTTATATTTAGGTTGTAGTGTAATAAACCAACAAAAACCACAAGGTTTTCAATGAAATTGATTCTTTATATTTTTACCTTTTCGACCCTTTTGTAGCAATGTAGCATGTCTGCAACAAATTATTCGAGCCCCCAAAATTTGTTAATTTTATTTTTGCTTTTTCATTTGTAATCGAGGTTAATTTTCAAGTTACTTTTGAAAAAAATTTTTTTTTCCCCTCAAATTGAATATTTGCCGCTTAAAGGGTTAATTGACCGGGAAAAGCAAGAAAAACTTTTGTTCATTTCTCGTTCAATTTTCAACTAAATTCAACCAAATTTTAATCACTTCTTCCTTTGCCGATGGGAAATGCATTTCTAAAATTTTGTACGAATATGTTCGGTATTTTTTTGAGTTATCGTGCTCACAGCCAAACACACACACATACAAACCCAGATGATTACATAACCTCCTGGCGGAGGTAATAATATATAGGGGATTAAGCTACCTCAATCATGTGATTTATCTATCGGCTACCTGGCGCCCACCCACATAGCTAACCACAACCTCATTTGTTTCAGCTAAAAACGGATGGCCGGTAAAAACAAATTGCCCACGAGCAACCGACAAACATATACACAATTATTGTTGGCTATTATTGCCGCCGACTTTCTAAAAGATGACAATTCAACACTTCTCGATGACAGGACCACATCTTCTGGTCTCGTTAAGCACTTGGCAAGAAAAGTGAGTGCATTTCTAGTATCACCGGAGATTTAGGATTTGCTCAACAAGTTGTTGAAAAATGATGACGAGAACGCAAGTGGTGATGCTATGCTTCTACGTAAGCTGTTTTCAAGAGAATCTAGTAGCTAGAACTATTAAAGTGCCCATGCCATAAAATGGGAATTTAAATTTTTAGAATCTTTGTTTGAAATGAGTTAGTAAGTTCTAAATCAAAATTGAAATTGGATTTTTATTTTTCGAGTTATTGCCATCTAAACATTGATTTTAGTGGAGTGCATGAAAACTCTGAAAACCACGCAAATGAGACTGGTGCGAAACAAGGTGTTTGACGTCACAATAGCAACCCGTTCGACGCGAAAATTTTGTAACTCTATTCTATTGAGTGAAAAAATAGAAGCTAAAAAGTGGTTGTTCTTACTTGACAGACAATTCTGCATAAAGTCACTCATTATCATAATATGTTATGAAATGTCTTTAATAATTGTACGTTCCTTGCAGCAGTATATATATATATATATATATATATATATATATATATATATATATATATATATATATATATATATAATATAGAAAATACCCCATGAGTCATTACCAATTGAGTCACTGTGTTTTAAACACGAAGGCAGTGTTTAAGTTAACAGATAGTGTCAGTAAGTATATTTACATACACACAATTTGATATTTTCTTTTTCGCTGACGTGTTAGAAACTTTCATATGTGGTTATTCCCCTTTAAATTATGAATTAAAAATCATTTTTTTTACTATTAATAGGACTATTACGTATGATACTTTAACAAAACATGTGATTTTAGCCTACAAAATGCTCATTTTTCAGGTTGCAAGTGGCCCTTGTTTAAAATTATAATGCCACGGACCACATTCAATAAGATGATGAATATGCTAGTTCCACCAAGGAGACGGACTTTCACAAAAATTCAAAATGAAAAGGTTTCGCCAGTTGTAAAGAAGTTGGTTAATGATAGTATGGTCAACAATGCTGATAAAACCAGAGATGAGAGTAATAATGATGGAGAATGTGAAGTCTCAATTGATGGGACATGGCAGAAGAGAGGATATTCATCACACAAAGGGGTTGCAACAATGATCTCCTTGGATACGCAGAAATGCCTGGATGTTGAAGTATTATCGGGCAAGTGTAAGCAGTGTCAAAAGTGGGGGAAAAAGATTCAAGATCCTAAGTACAATGCGTGGAAGCCCTCCTAAAAGTGCAGGATGAACGACGGAGGATGTTCTGGAAGCATAGAGACAGCTGGGGCTGTTAGAATTTTTGAACAGTCATTTGCTACACGAGGGCTAAAGTATACTAAAATGCTTGGAAATGGTGGCTCCTCAACATACAACACCATGTTTAGTTGATAAAGCCCATATATAAAAAGACCTTCGTAAAAGACCTTAGATTTTTCTTTTTCATTTGACCCATCAGAATTGAAAAGGGATCAAGTAAAGAAATTGTTTCATTAAAAATTCTACCTGGTAAAATAGAATACCAATGACCTTGCATGTGATCTTATAAGTATCCTATAAGATCCTGTAAGAGTGCTTAGGATCTGTATCATGAACTCACAGTTCCTTGCAAGACCCATGATCTTGAAGATCATGTATTAGATTTTACATGATCTTGTTAAGACCCATCAAAAAAAGATCCTAAATAAGAGCTTATATTGAATCTTATAAAATCTTGAATAGGATCATAATTAAGAGTATCCACAAGGGAAAACTAAATGACTAAATTTACATAACAGAAAAATTTTTTTACCTTGGTCATTCGGAAGGTTACCTGGAGAGATAAATTCTGAATCTACTGCATTAAAATCTGTGGATTTTGTAGTATCTTCATCTGTGTGGGCTGTCTAGTAGCAAAGTAAAAAGTCTTATGAGCTGTAGAGTATTTACAATCATGTTGCAAGCCTTATACAAAAGAAGACAGTTCAGTTCTACAGGTAAGTGGTCTTAACTAACACAGATTATTGGTGCACCATGCAGACAAGTTGTATGAAAATATAAATACACATTTCTATCTTGCTTATTGTAATCTGTAAAGCTTTTAACCCCTCCCCCTGCCCCCCTCTATAGTACACTTCAGGGACTTAGATGAACAATATGGAAGATTGCCATGTAAAGTAATTATTATGACATACAATCACAATTGATATCCTGTATACAGTAGGTATAGTTTTACCCATGTTTTCTAAAAGCTAACCCACACTCAAGCTCATTGAGTGATGTCAACCCCCTCATAACAGTGTTTACTTATATTTTTAGGGGTTGATTCAAGATTTCTAGGTAGCTCATTCACCAGTACCTCAATAAATATGAGTGTAATTAAGTGAGCTCTTTAAATATACAGGCATTATTCTGATGGTGAATTTGAGGGAGATAATAATTTACACTTACAATTGCTTTTTTAGATTGAAGATAATTTTAATTTTAATATCCCACTCGAATTACTTATCTGCATCTATCAAAGAAAGAAAATCACACATAAATTACAATGATATAAAAAAATAAACAATGCAAACCAACCTAAAAATTAAAGCCATTATTAAATAAATTTGGGCCTATCACATTGTGGAAATAGTGAAAGGTTATACAACAGTTAGCATGGTATATTTTTGCACTCATTATTTAGTCATAAAGTAAACATTCCACATAACTCTAACCCGCATAAAATAAACAAGATTTATATAATATATACGATATATTACTTGTGAGAATATATAAAAATATATAATTATACATCAAGACCATAATAATACTAATAGAATGAATAGGCAATGTTTGCTGCCCATAATAAGCAGGGGCCGGTTGTATCAAGCCCGTTTAGCTTAAACGGTGGTTAAGTTCAAAATAGAAAGCAAGTCTGCAGTTTTTTGAACAAGCGAACTAAATGTTTTTGACTTTAATACAAAGATACTGTTTACCACTACATCTTCAGTGCATAATATTCAAGTTGACTCATTCACGAGAGTTGTTAAGAGTGTTATTCAATTTTGACTTATCCACCGTTTAGGCTAAACGGGCTTGAATTGCTTGATACAACCGGACCCTGCCTAGTAAAAAAAGCAGCGTTTAAACAGGGTCTAGAACAGTTGAGATTGTCTGCCGTTTAAAAGGAACCCAGAAACTTATTAAAGGAGAAAACTAGTATACCGGGTAATTCGCGACCACGTGCAAACATTCAGGAAGGATTCTGGGCGAAATCCTTAAAGTTTATAGTTTATAGAATCTATTTACTGAACTCTTAGTTACAAATTTAAAAGATATACCTTACATCACAGCAAGCTGAGCATGTATTCATCGAGAGATCCGCAATTTTCCCAGTTCAATCGACGGTTTGAAACAACACGATTGAATGACCCACACAGATTTATAATAGCTATATAGTGAAGACAAGACGAATCACATGGTTTTTTGCCCAATGTGCGCATGCGTAACTTGCTTGGCAAGCACAAATTAGCTATATACAGATATACAGATATGAAACAGTGATTATCACAGTGGTTATATAGCTCAGTGGCAATAACACAGAAGTTTCATATCTGTATATAGCTAATCTGTACTGTACTTCAATTCCATCATGGCCGAGGCGGTATTTACATCAGATGAAGCGTATTCTCGAATTGAAAATGAGTCTTCTAGCGATGAAAGCACTGGGGGTATGTCTGAAAATGAAGAAATAAACTTAGACTTTGAGCTCATGCTGTCTGATGGAGATTCAGAGTAAGTATTTTTCTGTATTTTATGTATACAAGATCGCACATGACATGTGCGTCCCGCATTATTGTAAGTTGTCTTGTCACCTTATTTGCATCCAAAGTTTGTTTCCAAACCAGTGCAAATCCCTTATTTTTTTTTGAAAGAGTTAACAAAGTTCTTTTCAAATCTTTCGCGTTTTACAATTTCTGCTTCAAACTGTTAAAACTAGAACGTGATTGATGATTCATTATCCTTATGTTTATTAGTTGTGAACCTCAACTAGAAGAAACTTCTGCTGCAGACCAGACTTTATTTGATGATGAAAGTCTTGAAACCAGCAGTAATGTGAACAGGGACCGTTCTCCCATTGGAAATGTTGATGAGCAAACTGACTCTGGTGGTAGACAGTGTGGCAGAAATGGTGGTAGTAGTGGACATGGTAGCAGAGGACATGGTGGTAGGGGACGTGGTGGTAGGGGACGTGGTGGTAAGGGATGCGGTGGTAGGGGAGGCAGTGGTAGGGGATGCGATGGTAGAGGACGTGGCGGCAGGGAACATGGTGGTATAGGGGGTGGTGGTAGAGAGCAGTATAGCAGTTATGATGACCAAGATGCTGGTAATCTTATTCCTCCTTTTGAGCCTAATCGTCAACCTGGGCTCCACTTGGATAGGGCTGTTTTGCGTGGTGCTTTCACGACTGAGATGGAATTTTTCAAATTGTTTTTTACCCACCAAATAGTTAGTTCCATAGTAACACACACAAACTCCTATGCTTTCATCAAAGTAGCATCAGGAGGCTACTCTAACTACACTGATTCCCAAGGTGCCTGGAAGTTGACCAATAATGATGAAATTTATAATCTTATCTCTCTTCTGATATATTTCAGCTTGGTCACTATTAGGTCTTCAGTGCAAAAATATTGGAGCACTAAGACACTCTACCATGGTCTTTGGGCAAGAAGTATAATGCCATTGAAGCGATTCAAAGCCTTGATGGCATTCCTTCATGTTGTTGACCCCTGTAATGAGAATCCTTCTTCCAAGTTACGGAAAGTTGAAGAATTCATCTGTTCATTCAAAGAGCGGTGTCACCTCTTGTATCAGCCATCCCAAAATATTGCGGTAGACGAGCGAATGGTTAAGTCTAAACATCGCTCTGGTCTACGGATGTGCATGAAAGACAAGCCAATAAAATGGGGAGTAAAACTGTGGGTGTTGGCAGATAGCTTGAATGGGTACACCATTGACTTCGATATTTATGTTGGGAAAACTGCCAAGCCCATTTCTGAGCATGGATTAGGCTATGATGTTGTCATGAAACTTGTAGAACCCTATTTCAACCAGGGTTATCATGTATACTTTGACAACTTCTACACCTCTCATCAGTTAGTCAAAGATCTCTTTTTACAGGGAACCCCTTCTTCTGGAACTGTTAGGCCCAACAGAAAAGGTTTTCCCAAAGCCTTTGCTGATGCAAAAAAATGGGGGCGTTCTGTTGAGAGAGGAAGCATGCGTTGGCAGAGAGATGGTGTGGTGGTGGTAATCCAGTGGAGTGATAATAATCCTGTTTCGTTGTTATCAAGTATTGATACTGCCAATGATTATAGGATGGTAGAGAGAAGGCTCAAGAGGGAAAATGGGTTTGAGAAAGTAAATGTGCGCCAACCCCTAGCCTTTCATCGGTACAACAATTACATGAATGGGGTTGACCGATCTGATCAAATTATTGCTGCTCACAAGATTTCACGTAAATGTAAACGTTGGTGGAAGACATTATTCTACCACATGATAGAAATTGCTCTTGTAAATTCCTTTCTTCTCTTCCAGATTCATAGAAAAAATAATCCGAATGATTCAAACTTGAATAGGCCGGGCAAATACTCTCTTGTTGAGTTCAGGGAAGCTTTGGTTCGTCAGATGGTTGGGTTGGATGAGAAAGGTCTACCACCAGTAAATGTCAATGTCAAGCCAGTTCATACCTATGAGACTGAACATATGCCAATGACATCTGAGAGTGAAAGGAAGAATTGTGTTGTATGTTATGCAACTGGGAAGGGACAGCTGAGAGTTTGGACGTACTGTGCAGCTCCGCAGTGTCAAAAGTTCTTACATGTTGGCAAAGGCTTTACCTGCTTCCAAGAATGGCACTCAAAAAACTACGCTGGACGCAGATGAGAGTATTGATAAAGAGCTGCAAAGAGTAGTCTGTTTTCATTTAGTGTGAAGTTTGTTACTAAATAGTACTTTGCATTTGGTTTACATGTTTCTTCGCATTTGACATTCTTCTGTATTTGTGAGATAATACCATTCAATGTGAAGCACACATTTTTTATATTTTACATTTTTATATAATAGTTATACTCTACTTTCCCCTATATTTACCTATACCTGTATAAATATATTCAAATGAAAGTTGAAAACTATGAATGATGTGGTGAATATTTTTTGTTGTGTTTATGTATACAAAATGGCCGAATTCAAAAAATAAAAAAATATACTTTTACTATGTCAATTTTCATATAATTTTGTATGCACACTTGCTGAATCATAAACTAACATTTCATTTACAATATAGCCTAAAATGCATCCCGTTTTGGCCAAATATCAAGTTTTACGAAAGTGTAACAAAATTGAATTGCGCAATCTTTGTATGTTTATGCTCAATCCGGGGGGGAATGCAGATAGTATGAACCGCAAAAACAAATACATCAGATGAAAGATCATACTTTGAGCTTTAAATGACACCTGCGTATTCATATGGTAAATACTTGCTAAGATAGCCTTGCGTAAACAAAACTTCCGGAAAACAGTAAGAGATCCTCGAGTGCGATAAAGCCGTATTTATTCAAATTCAGAGACGTATATGAAAATTGGTACTTTATTCTGCGTATCAGATTTTGAGGAATTTGGGCATTGGATATCGTTTGAACCACAGCTGAAAGGTGCAGAAAAATAAAAGTACGTAATATGTGCTTACTTTTACAAAAATACGATACAATTCCGGGAAGAGAATCCAGGAAGTGATTTGTTGCAGTGTACTTATAGTGGGCGATTATTAGGACTCTCTTTTATCAGCTTTAAAATACTGATATTTTACTAAACCGGAATAAGATCTGAAATTTTTCTATGAAATTTCACGCCTACACATTTCAGATGTTAAAAATTGATCATTTCAAACCTATTATGAATATTTCATCCAAGATTCCGCAGTTGATAAGTCACTGCATGCATGTTCGACTGGCAAAAGAAAACCGTGGTTTCTGTTTTAGAGTTGGTAAATTCGAGTGAGTTTTTGAAATACAGGTGTAAACCTCGACCACATTGGCCATTGCTTTTCCCGACATTTCTTAAACCCAAGAATTCCCTATTATGTGTAATTATAAAGCATAATTACTTGGGGTCCCACAAGAGGATCCTGAAAACACGGGAAATGGGAAATAAATGCATAAAACTTAAAAAGCATGATGCCATGGTGTTCGGGTTGTCAACTCGTTCTGTCTACAAGGTCCTGCACGAAAGCTATTTACCTAAACCTAGTTCCTAGTTGAAATATTTCACTTCCTGATCCCAATGTTTGTTATTTTGGTTGCTATTTACTGATGCTATTTAATTTGCTGATGTATAAACCTTGTGGAGTAAAATTTACCTAGCTGCTACAGTGCTACTCGACGCTTTGGGTTGCAGACAGTAGACATTAATGTTGATTATAGATACTTCTTAATGGGTATGGGAAGGGGTATTGACAATGAATAGTGTGGGAGATCTACATATTGATTTTAGCTGATGATATTTTACGGCGCGTACCATATCGGAACTGGAGTGTTTTTAAGACATCTTTACAATAAATAAACGTACAAAGTTTGACAACATTTGGGTAATCGGCATGATAATGGAGTACACAATGAATTTCTAGCGCAGACGAAGGTAACAGACCATAGTGTGAGGTTTCGCCCAATAGCTTTCAGTTGTGATGAAACGTATCATGTCTCGTTTATATTCAAAATATGCGTCATTATCCGACCGCATTGCATGCCCGTAAAAGTGAAATAATGTATATAAAAGATATACTACAATGCATAGCGCATAGCAAAATCGATATTTTCCCTCCTAATGTATAGATTAGGAGTGCTGCCTTGCTCTCTCGTTTCAGGTTCGCTCGCTGCTGCAACAATAAGACGCTTGCATAGCGTTTCTAAGCAAACTGAAATTCTCATTCCCCTTACTTTCGTACACGATAACTCAAAAAGTAATAAAGTAAACTTGGGAAAATTTTCATGGTTGACTTTAAAGACAATTGGGTCGGAGGTGAACCTAGAAATGGTGTATTCCGTTCAGTCTAAGTAAAAAAGCGACAGAGGGCTCTCGAAAAGCGACAGAGGGCTTCTGCAACCCCTACTTGAAGATATCAGCGACAAAATGGATCCATTTCAATGAGCAATAAAGGGCCGATCAACAACACAGGCATTGGTTCTCGTACTACACAATCTTTTGGAGGCACTTGATCAAGGTGAGTGTTCCGTACGTGCCTTCTTCGCTGACTTCAGTAAAGGCTTCGACTTGGTGAATCACAACGTCCGGCTAATCGACGAATTGATAATTGATAGAATTGATCCCTCTATTGTTAGATGGATACGTGCATTCCTTACTGGAAGGAAAAAATGTGTCCGTGTTCGGTGTTCATGATCCCATACTCCTCCTTCAAAGATGTAAATGGTGGTATACCACAAGGCACTAAATTGAGCACAATATTATTTGCGGTTTTGATAAATCGATTAGTTCGCGACTGGAACCTAAGGGTCAAGTTTGTCGACGACTTGGCGACCATCGAAATTATTCCGAGGTGCTCGCCCAGTCTAACACCGCTTTTAGTCAACGATGTCCAACTACATGCTGAAACAAGGGGCATGCAGCTGAACTCAAAAAAGTGCAAGGAAATGGTGATTGATTTTCTTCAGTATAGACTACAATATGAGGATGCTTTAATGATTGGCGAACAACAGATCGAGAGAGTAACGTCACATAAACTATTAGGAGTTTTCCTTAGTCGCCATCTGTCATGGAACACTGATATTAACTACATCGTCAAAAAAGCGAATAAAAGACTTTACATCTTGCGTATGTTACGAAAGACAAAAGTTGGCCATTCAGAACTTGTAGCAGTATACCGTAGTGTAATCAGACCGATTCTTGAATACGCTAGGGAATTTTTATATCCTGCGGAATGATCCCCAGACATCTTCCATTTTCACGGATAACCCCGTAGTCTCTTTTCGGCACAATAAAAATATCCGGGACACATTGATTCACAGCTCTCTACTGCAAAACTTTTCAGAGCCCAATGGCACATTCCCTAGTGGCATTGGCCAATGTAAAACATGCTTATTTACCGATTACCGCACTTTTATTATATTTTGACTCCCAATTCACAGTTTTTCATCAGGCACCATTTCACATGCCTCTCCTCTGACCTCATTTATTGCATCTCATGCTACTATATTTCGGCAAAACTTGAAAATCTCTAAGGGTAAGGTCTGGTGAAGACCATAAGTTGGTTAACAAACCTGGATAACACCAAGCCTGTTGCCAGACACTTTACCTTAGTTAAGGACCTGTATATGAATTTGTATGCATTTCATTTATGACAGGTAAACTCAACTGTTTTTGGGTAAGTTGACCATGGCGGTCAACATGTGACCATGGCGGTCAACATGTGACCATGGCGGTCAACATGGTAACGCTGCCCGAACCATAACACAGGGCAAAACATCCGAAACTGACCACACCCAAAAATTCACTATAGTGCAATCTGCCAAGCCAAAAAAGCTTTGAGTAATCTGAGCTACTTATATGGTTCAGAGATGGTGCTTTTAGGGGTGGTCATTAGTAAGTAGAAAATACCTAGCACTAATACTTTACAAGAAAATGACCATGGAAAATTCATACACAAGTGTCAAATTGCGGCAAACAACTTCAAATAAACAGCAGTGGGCCTGCACTGCCTTTTTTCCCAAATTCTTTTTATAGAAACATAATTCGTACATTTTCAAATATATTATCACTGTTTGGTGTGAAAAAGTTAATATTTTGTGACTAAAATATTAATTTAAAATTCACTTACTCCCTGCAAATGGACGCATTTCGCCGATTCCCAAGTTCACTCCTCGTTTATCAGCGAAAATCGTTTGAGTCCTTCTGAATATGAAAGTCGGTCGAGACATAATAATATCATATGCATTTTTAACAAGTTTCCATGAGTTTTCAAGTAGATTTCAACTGTTTACCATCGACAACGTAAAACCCCAACTTTGACCAAATACGGCGCCATTGTGTCATCCCGTGTCGGTTGTTAACAATTCCGCATTGTTATTCTTACATTCAAGGCCTTTTAATTTCAGCATTAACAAATATGACTTTTATAAAGGACTTGAAATTAAAAACATGAATAAAATATGAGAAAACAGCGTTTTACCATAGGTAGCCCAATGCGCAATGCGCTGCATTACGTACGTCACTTGGGTCACGTATATAGTATATAATAACATAAGGTTGGCAAGAATATTTTATTTTCAATATACATCGTTTAAATATGATCAAAATTTTAACATCTATTCTATAAAATACGCCAAAAAAATAACAGCCCCTAAGTGTAGGGTAGTTTTACTAAATTTGTACGTCGTTTTTTTGCAATGAAACGCAATTAAAAAATGAAAATATGCCAAAAGTTTGTTGAAATTTGCCGTGTCCCGATGCGGGATGCCTGTTGCCGTGCAAAAACATCAATTTGAAAACTCGTATACGCGATCCTATTGGTCATGCAGCTTTGACCGTTTTGTGATGACCAATAGGATCGCGTATACGAGTTTTCAAATTGATGTTTTTGCACGGCAACAGGCATCCCGCATCGGGACACGGCAAATTTCAACAAACTTTTGGCATATTTTCATTTTTTAATTGCGTTTCATTGCAAAAAAACGACGTACAAATTTAGTAAAACTACCCTACACTTAGGGGCTGTTATTTTTTTGGCGTATTTTATAGAATAGATGTTAAAATTTTGATCATATTTAAACGATGTATATTGAAAATAAAATATTCTTGCCAACCTTATGTTATTATATACTATATACGTGACCCAAGTGACGTACGTAATGCAGCGCATTGGGCTACCTATGGTTTTACCACCCTGTTAAATTTACACATGAGTCTTTCAAAAAAATCGGTCAGTTTTCGCGCGAGGAACGTGATAAAGGTATGCCAGGGGGGTTGATCTCTTTCCACACGATAAGAAAAAAGCTGCGTTCGACAACATTACAATTTACAAAGGCATAATAACTGTAATCAAAGACCAAGTTTTCAACCAATGTATTAATAAATTTATTTACAGAAATATACTGTTATACATTGGATAGCTCCAAAGCGTTCAAATTTGTGACTTCCGATGCGGCTTTCTATCATCTGTGAACATATTCACTCCCCTGTCAGAGCCCTGTCCCGTTCCTCGCGCGAAATCTGTATGCATTGTTTTGAACGACTCATATGCAAATTTAAAAGGGTGGTAAAATGCTGTATTTCTCATATTTTATTCATGTTTTTAAATTCTTTTATAAAGGTCATATTTGTTAACGCTGAAATTAAAAGGCCTTGAATGTAAGAATAACAATCCGGAATTGTTAACAACCGACACGGGATGACACAATGGCGCCGCATTTGGTCAAAGTTGGGGTTTACGTTGTCGACATCTGGTTAAACAGTTGAAATCTACTTGAAAACTCATGGAAACTTGTTAAAAATGTAAATGATATTATTATGTCTCGACTGACTTTCATATTCAGAAGGATTCAAATGATTTTCGCTGATAAACAGAGGAGTGAACTTGGAAATCGGCGAAATGCGTCCATTTGCAGGAAGTAAGTGAATTTCAAATTAATATATCAGTCGCAAAAAAAAACATCACAAAAACATCATTTTACACCAAACAGTGATAATATATTTAAAAATGTACGAATTATGTTTCTATAAAAAAGATTTGGGAAAAAAGGCGGTGCAGGCCCACTGCTGTTTATTTGAAGTTTTTATAGCCACAATTTGAATTTGACACTCGTGTATGAATTTTGCATGGTCAGTTTCTTTTTAATAAAGTATTAGTGCCAGGCATTTTCTACTTACCAATGACCACCCCTAAAAGCACCATCTTTGAACCATATAAGCAGCTCAGATTATTCAAAGCTTTTTTGGTTTGGCAGATAGCACTATAGTGAATGTGCCGTTTTTGGGTGTGGTCAGTTTCGGATGTTTCGCCCTGTGTTATGGTTCGGGCAGCATTACCATGTTGACTGGCATGGTCAACTTACCCTAAAACAGCTGAGTTTACCTGTTCTAAATGAAATGTATACAAACTCATATACAGGTCCTTGACTGTGGTAATCATTGTTTCAGGGACATGAAAATTAGACCCCTCTGTCCCATTTCCAGTACTTACAATAGCCATAAACGACAAGAACTGCGACTCATCCACAGTCTTGGCACTCTCCATCTCTCTGGCATAAATGAAAAACTCTCTTTCATTTAAGCTACTTGACCCAGAGTGATATGACTCCCATTTCATTGTTTACATCAAAGCTGGTTATAATGCGTTTTCATTGCTGATCAGGCTTCCCTCATTGCAGGCTATTCTTAGCCCACAATCAGGCATGTCTTTGGCAATGTAATGTACTCCGATTTGTTTTGATTTTTTGTTTTCTATAGGCCCATTTTTATCATGTGTTTTGCCCCCATACAAAACATGTATTCTGCCCTATTTATTTTCCTACTAACTCTCCAGTTGTTATACCACATCTGACGCTAAACTGTTTATTTCAGATAGATCGTCGAAGTTTTATATTTACATAGCTAACAAAACGTTTAATGCTCGAAAAGTTTTATTCATTTTATGTTCAGCTTCAAGGCAAAAATATTTACAACTAAATGTAACCAATTCCGTCGCTCCGAGTTTAAACTTGGTTGTTAGTCTAACTGCAGTCGGGCGAACAGAGAGGGGCAAGCATCGTCCCATTTACAAACACCCAGTGCATGGTCCTGAGAAAAGAAAATTCCTCATTAATACCAGCTAGGGGGTATCCTATAAATAAGCTTAATTTGAATAAAGGGCCTTATGTTGTATCTTATCAATCACAAGTGCATGGCAGGCAAAGCCAAACAAGTCATAATCTCTTTTTCAGGTATAGCTAAATTGAGACATGCTTTGTCCTCATACAATCCTTATCTTTTGTTATAAAACTGGTATTTTTTGCACCCACACGAGCGAGGTATTATGGAAAATAAACGTTAATTATCAGAATGATATTGGCTTTCTAAAATCCGTTATTTTCCTCGCTGTTAACAATGCGGTAAGAGGACTATCAAATTACGTAAATTCCATGCCTGCTTTCCATGTACTAGCCACTATAGGCGGTTTTTTGTGTGCAAAATATTTCAAAAATTTTGAAAAATTTGTAAAAGGAAAAAAAATTTGTGAAATGGTATACTAAATAAACACTGCGTTTGAGCCTGCGTCAACCAAATAATGTAACTCTAACTAAAGTATATTTTATCGTTTTAGTTCCGTGTTCACGAGATGACAAGCTTTGCCTTCATAACTGGCGTGATTATTTTTTTACTTCAATTTGTACCACATCGGTGTCAAGGTAAATCACTAGCAAGTTTAAACTACGATACTTCGACCTATGTATGGTATTGAAATACAGTTATTCATTTCCATAAATACCCATTTGAAGGAAGAAAACTTCGAGGGGAAAAGCTAGCCATTTCATCGCCCAATTTTCACAATCACGAATCGAGGTTTTTGGAAAATGTTCTGAATAAACGCATGCATAGTCGCAAACACTGAAAATCTCTTAAAACAGCTACACGTTGAAGAATGCGAATAAAAATCGCCTACTGCAAGATTTTCACGTCATATTTTTGTTAGGAACTTCCCATTTTTTTCCTAAAATATCGACAGCAAAGTGTGTATTTGCATGAAAACAATTGAGATGCATTATCAATTTAGGTTTCCCACCTGGGTCGCTAAGGTTACAAGGGCCATTAAGTGGCAATGGTACTGGCCGTGTCGAAGTATTGCACAAAGGGTACTGGGGGACAATCTGTGATGATGGATGGGATATGAAAGATGCTAAAGTCGCATGTCGTCAGCTTGGTTATCAAGATGTTGCAAGAACTCTTCAGAAGAACGATTTTCCTTCTGGTTCAGGACGTATTTGGCTAGTCGCTCTCGATTGTACTGGAGAGGAAGAAAATATTACAAGCTGTTATCATAATGGTTGGGGGATTCATTCCTGCTCTCATTCTCAAGATGTCGGAATAGAATGTTCTACAACAGGTATGAAGGTGTCAATAAACTTGGTAAACCTCCAAATCTGCAAATTCAAGACTGTGGTTAGAAAATATGGAGCGGAAAAAAACTTTGTGAACCAAAGTTGCAGGCACCAGAAGTTTCGAAAAAAACACGCAGTTCCTTCCTGTTCTGAAAATTATGATAGTTGAAAAACTGCTTAGCAAGACCAAAATTTCTTTAGTTGCCAAAAATTCTATCCAAATACCTTCTTTCAACACGTTCTCTCTCGTAAAAAGAAGATTATTTCTGGGCTAGAAGCAAGGATATTTGTTAACGAGCATCGAGAAATAGTCTTTAATAATTCGCCTCCTTTCAATTTAGCTCAGTAAAACGTTTCTCAGTCCAGGCCTTTATTTACGAATATATTTGAAAATATCATTACTTGATTGCAACACTTGACATTTACACCACTATTATGTAAATTCTCACTTATTTTTGTCCCATTAGAATCATACATGTTTTTTAGATCTTTCCACTACTCCAGTGAAACTGCGGTTACAAGGACCATTAAGTGCAAATGGTACTGGTCGTGTTGAAGTATTATATCATGGATATTGGGGAACAATCTGTGATTATGGATGGGATACGCAGGATGCTAGAGTTGTATGTCGTCAACTTGGTTATAATCTAGATCATGTACACAGTAAAACTCTTCATAGAAACCTGGTCCCTTCTGGTTCTGGACAGATATTGTTAGCCCACGTAGCTTGTAATGGAAAGGAAAATAACATTAAAAGATGTTCTCATAATGGTTGGGGGGCTATTAATTATTGTTCTCATTCTAACGACGCCGGAGTTGAATGTTCTAACACGAGAGGTAAGAGGCGTTATGAAATCAACATTTTTGAAATCAACATTTATACTGGTGTTGATTATATATCTTTTTGAACGTTCTATACCCGTTTTATCGACTAGGCTAAAAAAAATTCTTTACCGGCAAGCAGGTTCTTAGTTGAGATAGAGAGGGGTTGGGGATGTACCGATCTTGCAACGCTGTGTATCAAATGTTAAATCTTGAGCATTTAATGCCTGTTCCGGCGCGAGGGGCTGTTCGAGGGTAATGATTCCGCTGGCTGATTTTTTGCGCATGTGTACACGGCAAAAAACGCTCAAGTTGTTCCCGGTTGATGAGAACAGGCCTCGACAATGTTGTGCTGCACCCCATGAACAATGTTGTCAACAATGTTGTCCCACCTTGTTACGCTTAACAATATTGCAACATGTTGTTGACAACATTGTTCATGGGGTGCAGCACAACATTGTTGAGGCCTGTTCTCATCAAGCGGGAACAACTTGAGCGTTTTTTGCCGTGTATGTTGACGGTACATAGCTGAATCGAATGATATTCAAAAGGCCTTTACCATTTTGCGCATGCGCAATTTTCGGACGAGTAGAAGACTGGTAATCAGTAACTAACTGATTTGCGGAGACAAAAAGTTCAGTTGTATTAACTGTATTATTTTTTGAAAAAGAACAATTACTGTATTCATATTTGAAAAACAACTACGACGTTTAATTTTTAAAAATGTGTTGTACTGTTTTGATGTCCTAATTTTCATTTTTAACCGTTGCCTAAGCTGTAAGTTTCCAACAACTATCTGCGAGTGCCTGCTTAATGACGCGGGGAAATGATTGATGTTTACTTCACCTTCTATGTAAATATACATTGAAATTGCTGCTAATACCATTCCAGATTTATTTTCCGTGTTAAGCACTAATTAAACACCCGTTTGTATTCTGTTAAAGCGGGATTGATACGATTGCAAGGACCAATAAGTGCAAATGGTACTGGTCGTGTTGAAGTTTTCTACAATGGACAATGGGGAACAATCTGTGATGATGGATGGGACATAAGAGATGCTCGGGTTATATGTCGTCAACTTGGTTATAAAGATGCTGCCAGAGCACTTTATGCTGGGCAGGTTCCTTCAGGTTCAGGACAAATATGGCTGGGTCACGTTGATTGCAATGGGAAGGAACAAAATATAACAAGTTGTCACCACACGGGTTGGGGAGTTAAATATTGCTCTCATAATGAAGACGCTGGAGTTGAATGTATTAGTAGTACAGGTACGACTTGGATTTCAATGAAATCAATATCGTAAAATGTTATCTTAAATGGATGTATCCAAAAAGTAGCTTAGTTCACAAATCACGTGTAGGCCAAGCCTTGCACTTACCAAGCCTTGCATTTTGTCACGGTTTCTCTAAGTTCATTCCATTCAAGATATTTAAGCAAAAACATCTGCTGTTTTCAATCTTATAAAACGCAAACGAGAAGAATGTTGCCTAAAGCTTTTCCAAACGATAAGCTTAATTGTGATGAAATGCCGAGTCTCCAGAAGCTACTCGCATAAATATTATTGTTATATAGGTGCTTTGTATTTTAAATGTGATTGGTTCATTCGGAGTCACATGACTTTAAATAAATGCAATGTTTCCCGCCAGGGAACAAGGATAACAAAGTAAAGTGAGTTTCTTTTTGGACCAGGAACTGGTCCCTAACCGCTGCTAATCTTGTTGTTGTTGTTGTTAGGGGGCGACGCTCTTTAAAAAAACCCTAAGGCCCTATCATTACTTGTTTGATCGGAATGAAACTTTGCACAATTATTCTAAGCAATATTCCGCATCGATTGACGGAGTTCGAATTTCTACTTTTGAGCTTTGAAGCAAGTTACAAGCAATTCTTGATATATTTGCAGCAAATAATATATACATATCATTAATATTCAGCCTATACATAAGTAAACGGAAACGATTAGAAATACAGGGTGTCTCAAAAAAAACGCAACCACTTAATATTCTAAAATTCATATTGTTCATAAGCTCAATAAATTTTATGCCCCTTGGATTTTAAAATGGCTTCTAATCGTACAGTTCAACTGCTAATGGTCAAATCAGCTAAACTAATAATAGTGCAGCTAACAACCGAACAACGAGTTTTTATTGTCGTGCATGATAACTTGAATGCTAACTGTCGACCTTGTAGTTGTAAAATAAATTGTGAATAAAATTTTACTCGTTAAATACTTTCAATTCAGCTCGTTGGTTTACGCTCCCGACTTTGTTTACCGACGATTGTGCCGCTAGAATATGATTACAAGCTTTCTCGCATTCCAGGGGCCAAACGTCTTTTGTGTTGTAGAACAAAGAGGATATTCATGAATATTAAGTGGTTGCGTTTTTTTTTATACACCCTGTACATTGTCCTCTCCGGATCCATTGTTATAAATACAATGCAGTTCAGAAATTAAACTCGGTTACGCAGTTCCTGGTCCCTATAGTACGATCGTACTTGTTAAATGAAATTGTTGTGTAGCATGTATGTTTTCGTTCCTATACAGGGTGTCCCAAAAAAAACGAAAACTGTTGAAATCACCCATAACAATGCAATTGTTAGAGTTTGAATGCCTAAGTACTCTGTTGGGACCCACAGGTGTATAAATGTTTGCAATACTCATTTTTATGCATGCATATGATGCAGTAAAATTTGCTTGTTCGCAAAAATGATATTTATTAACAATATTTACAATTTACAAATATGGATAAGCAGGATAACAGTATTTAAATGTGCATCTTAAGGACCATGACCATCGACATGTCCCTTTCTCTAGCAACACAAAGCATTTAGCATTTTATAAGTTGCATTAAATGCCCACGGGCTGAAATTCGTCAACACGGCATTCAAATTTTAACAATGAGTGATTTCAATAGTTTTCGTTTTTTTTGGGACACCCTGTATAACAAAACACTTAATGTACACTACCTCGGGAAATAATAAGTTTTGTTTTCCCTCGAGTCTCAATGTTTCAAAAAAAGACAGGCAAACATTCAGTCTCTTAGGAAAACAAAACTCACTATTTCCTTCGTGAGCATACATTAAGCATACATTAAGCATACATTACATGTATAATAACTTATTTTAATTAATTTACCATCATGTGAGAAAAACAACGCGTTAGTGTAAGGAAACAATACTAACATCATAATTAATCGCGCCTTGATGTTGTTTTAAGATTTGTCAGCAAAGCCTTTTTCCCTCCGGTTACAAGGACCGTTGAGTGCAAATGGCACTGGTCGTGTTGAAATATTTTTTGACGGACAATGGGGAACAATCTGTGATAATGGATGGGATTTGAGAGATGCGAGAGTTGTGTGTCGTCAACTTGGTTATAAAGACGCTGTGAGAACACTTCGAAGGGACACTTTTCCTTCAGGTTCAGGACTTATATGGTTATCTTACGTCGCTTGTAATGGGGAAGAACAAAACATCACGAGTTGTAACCACAGCCCTTGGGGAGTTTATTATTATTGTGATCATTATCAAGACGCTGGGGTGGAATGTTCCACAACAGGTATGAAAATATCATCCAAGACAAAGAATACCTAGCCTGAACACAGGCCTTCGTTTCACCCTCCCTAAAGTTCGCGGGCAGACACAAAGACGAAACAAACGTCTGAGGAAATAGTAATAGTATCACGATTTATTATTATCACGAACTCGTGTAATTACGTGTGTTGCCAAAACAAAAGGCACGCTCGCCCGACATACTCCAACAAGCTTAATTTTATTCATTTTTAAGACTCAAATGTGTTATTAATCATCAGCGTTAATTACTAAAAATGAAAAAGTGGGAGGAGGCGCTTTTGAGCCGGCTCGTACCCAGCCGATTTAATGGTAAAATCAAAGTAAACTATATAACGTCGCATTCAGACCCCACTGCAAACACCCCGCACGCTTACCTTCTTTCAGCTGACCTATAAAATAACTGAATGCAATGTTTTTTACTGTTAAAGCACCTGGGTACGAGGCTGGCTTTTGACCACATTTTTCTGAGACCTTTGTGTCGCATTTGCGTCTCCTGCGAATCTTAACGCGGGGGAAACGAAGCTCTGTGTTCAGGCTAAATAATGCCAGAAAAAAGTATATTCAATTATTAGCGATGGATTTAAAAGAAATGATGCTTCAACATCTTTTGAACGGTGGCGTACATCCTGACGGTTTTGCCCCGGTTTAATTTTAGAATTTCACCGCTTTAATACACCATTGAACTCAAAAGAACTGGAAGGTTACTTCCTGATTAAAATAGCCAAAATTGTTTACCTCCAGACACGCGTGTTTAACCTTCAGGCCGCGTGTACTTGTTGCGAGACATTCCCGCAAGGGCCATTTTAGGAACGATCATGAGGAAAACATGAGCTGTTTGGCGGCGAAGTTACATTCGTTCGGACTATTGCTTATTTTAACCATTTAAGCTCTAACTTTGTATTATCGATGCTGATTAAAGCATATATTGAACCATGACGTGCATGGTGATATTTCAAGGAAAATGTATACAGTATATTCGAAAACGATCACTACCTCCAAAAGGTTTCATGACAAAACAAAACGAAAAATTATATATTTTGTTCTTATAAATTATGTACTCTTAAAACATATAAAAAAATGTAACTGTAGTTAATGTTATGTAATATATATATTGTTGAAATATCTTTCAGAAGGATTAGATATGAAAAACGATTGATTAAATCTTCTCGTTCAACGTTTTTCATAAAAAAGGGCAATTTAATCCCAAGTGTTATACAGATAAATTTAAAATACTTTATTCTGTGTTATAATCGTAAAAATGGTGTAGAAAATGTACTTTATGCATGTATTCTAAAATATGTTTTTAGTGCTTGCATGCGGCATGTTGAAGACTTGAAGTATTGTTTTCGAAGTTTCAAAAAAACGCGTGTTTAGTTGCGTGAAAAGACTGAGTATGACTACAAGTTTTGGCTTCAAATTTGCCGCCGGAGGTAGCCTTCCAGTAAGCACGCATTCACATCCATCGCCATAGGAAGTGAGCACCTTGGGGCAAAAATCATCAAGCTGGCAGTTAAATTCTTATAGCATTTTTTTAAACTTTCTCGTTACATGTTTCACGTAGATTGTCCTGGGGCCGGTTGTACGAAGGCTGGATAGCGCTATCCACCGGATAGTGATTTTTTTAACCGTTCTAAAAATGCTTGAAAAGCAACAAAATTTTAGCTTTGGAAGCAACAATTATTAAAGAGGATCCTCAATTTAGGAACAATAAGGTTTAATCAAAGTTTCAGCCAACAACGGGGCGATTTTAGAGCGATGGAAAAATCACTATCCGGTGGATAGCGCTATCCGGCTTTCATACAACCGGCCCCTGCATTTCTAACAATCCATCAAATTTTTGTTAGCTCGAACACAGGCTGACGCAGATTTTTTTTAAGATTTTGCAGATGAGGTTGTACGAATAAGATTACAAGGGCCATCAAGTGCAAATGGTACCGGTCGTGTTGAAGTATACTATCATGGATATTGGGGAACAATCTGTGATAGTGGATGGGATATGAGGGATGCTAAGGTAGTATGTCGTCAACTTGGTTATGATCTAGATCACACATCTGCTAGGGCAATTCCTAGCCACCTTGTTCCTTCTGGTTCTGGACCAGTATGGTTATCTTACGTCTCTTGTACTGGCGAAGAACAAAATTTAACAACCTGTTCTCATAATGGTTGGGGAAACAATTATTGTTCTCACTATGAAGACGTCGGAGTAGAATGTACCACAAAAGGTATTTTTACAGTCGGTTTACAATTCTCAATTATATTGTGAGAATTTTGTCAGTGTAATTGAATTGCTGCATGTTAACTATTACATATTATATATTATATACCGGATATGTGTAAAAAAATTTTACGCTTGAATAAGCGTAAAGTTAAATGTATAAAGATGGTCCCCTATTTTCTTCGTGGGAGAAACTCTTTTCTTGGGTGAGAAAAATATTATTATCTTGCAGCTGTTTTGGTAAGGTTGCAAGGACCATTAAGTGCAAATGGTACAGGTCGTGTTGAAGTATTTTATCATGGATATTGGGGAACAATCTGTGATGATGGATGGGATATGAGAGATGCCAAGGTTGTATGTCGTCAACTTGGTTATCGAGATGCTGCTAGGGCCCTCAAAGGTGGCGAGGTACCTCCTGGTTCTGGAAAGACGTGGTTATCTTATATTTCCTGCTCTGGCAAAGAAAAAAATATTGTAAGCTGTCCTAGTAATTATTGGAGGGATTATTCCTGCTCTCATTCTAGGGACGCCGGAGTTGAATGCTCAACAAAAGGTATTAATAATTATTAGTGATTAGTGTTAGGGTCGTAGTTAATTGGGGGGGGGGGGCAGTGCGTATTCATATATTCATCTTATGCCTGACTGTTTTCTTTTGTACGCTATTGCTCCTATTGATTTTTCTCAAAATTATCGCATGCAACCTGCTGACGCTAGTTTTGTGACGAGTCGTGCCGTGCACATGAACTTGCAAGTGATATGCAAAACTAGAAACTCATAAAATTTTCAAAACAATTAAATTATGTGTTCTAAGAGTTTTCAACCACACCTGTACTGGTCAGATTGCAAGGACCGCTGAGTGTAAATGGTACAGGCCGTGTTGAAGTATTATATCATGGATATTGGGGAACAATCTGTGATTATGGATGGCGTATGAGTGATGCTATAGTTGTATGTCGACAACTTGGGTATGCAGATGTTGTTAGAACTCTTGAAAGGTACCAGGTTCCTTCTGGTTCCGGACAGATATGGTTATCTTATGTCGCTTGTACCGGGGAAGAAAAGAATATTTCAGATTGTTCTCATAATGGTTGGGGGGATCATTATTGCTCCCATTATAAAGACGTCGGAGTAGCATGTTCCTCAACAGGTAAATAAATAGTACTAGATTATATTAGGGCATAAATACCGGGAAAATTTATGATGTCAAACTTGTTCTCACGGGGTTTCCCTATAAAAGAGATTGCGACTTTGCTGGACGTGTTAAGAGATCAACTTTGCAGAAAAGGCAGTGAAAGTGGTGGTACGAAGTCTGTTCAGAGTTTAGACTACATTCATAATCCTTTTTTGCATTGTTAGTTTTTTGATGATTTTTATTGCCAGTTATTTATAAATAATGAACACTTTTGAAATAACCCCCCCCCCCACACAAATTTTGATTTCTGCCAATTGTAAATTAGAGTCCGCTGCCTTCCTCGCTCGCTCTGTGTAATCTGCTGTTAAACAATATTAACGTTCATACAAACTATAACACATGTAATTGATTTCAAAGTGAACGTTGTAGGCGCAAAATCTCTATTGTTTTACATTGTACAGATTTCATAGATTCTCAAATATGGAACATTCTTTCAGATTTTCAAGCCACACCTGTGTCGGTAAGGTTACAAGGTCCATTAAGTGGGAGAGGAACGGGTCGTGTTGAAGTGTTCTATCATGGATATTGGGGAACAATCTGTGATCATGGATGGGATATAAGAGACACTAGAGTTATTTGTCGTCAACTTGGTTATCCCGATACCGTAAGAACTCTTCGGAGTAACGAGGTTCCTACTGGTTCTGGACAGATATGGTTTTCTTACGTCGCTTGTTCTGGGGAAGAGCAGAATATAACAAGTTGTTCTTATAGATTGCATTATCGTCATTGTTCACATTCTGCAGACGTCGGAGTAGAATGTTCAACAACAGGTAAGTCCAAGATATTCACGAGAGCACTATAACCTCTCGTCAAATATAAACTCGATTATATATTGTCACGCGCTACAAATTTTACAGAAAAACGGATGGCAAAAAATTTTTCAAAATTTTTCAACACTTTTATGAATATGTACAGTATACGTATCAAGCATGTGGAAATCTTCTTTTAGTTCCTTGTGAAGAAAAACACATGAATTCGAATACCGCGGTGAAAAAGGTTTCAGTATGCAATTTTCACATCAATATGTTTGGCCCTATTACATACTTCATTGTATACTTGTAATATAGAAAAATTCTATAATGCCACATTTTTGAAAAATGCAAAAATGATTATAGAATTTTTTTATATCGTGTTAATTGTTAGTTTTTCTTCCAAGTAAAATAATGCACGAAAAGAAATTGGGGTCATCTTGCTTCTTTTCCAACTATCCGAGGCAATTGGTCATTTTGAGTGAATTTTGTACACGTATGTCGCCATAGCAACGGACGATTGGTTACTAAAACTAATACGATTCAAAAGTAGGAACATCAAATATATAAAAACCCCAATATCTCTAGAATAAATCGTTAAAATGCGTTTTTTGAACGTGTCAAAGTGATGAACGATGGAATTTTTGAAAACTGTATCGAGCCATCTTAATATGAATTGATCGAAATCCAGCTTAACAGATTACATATGGTATTGAAGTATATTAGTTTTTTGCTGCATAAGAAGAATCACGACATTTTACTCACTGCTTATGTATTACAAACCACTATGCGGCTGCCTTCGACTTGCTCAGGAGTAGCAGCTAATTACTCTGGCGCCGGAGTTGATATATCACATATTCAATCGTCCATGTTCACTATTTTTCAGCTATAACTGCACCACTCAGGTTACAAGGCCCATTAAGTGACGATGGTATTGGTCGTGTCGATGTATTCTACAATGGAACCTGGGGAACTATCTGTGACCATGGATGGGATCTAAGAGATGCCGGGGTGGTGTGTCGTCAACTTGGTTATCCATTTGCTTCAAGGGCCTTCCAAGGGAACTCGAGCCACGTTCCTTCTGGTTCAGGACAGATATGGTTAGAAAATCTCGAATGTACTGGATCGGAGCGTAATATAACAAGTTGTGTTCATAGAGGTTGGGGGTATACTTATTGCTCACATTCAACAGACGTAGGTGTTGAATGCAGTACAACAGGTAAATTGACAAATTATTAGATTAATTAACTGAATGAAGTTATATACAGGGTGTATCAAAAAAAATGTCCCAAATGTAAAATTTCCGTTTTTCAGGATATTTTGCAGAATTTGGCAAGTTTTTGTGTTCCTAGAGATAGATAAGACTTATCTGGTATACCTAGGCCAAGTTTGGTTTTTCATTAACAAAATTATGTTACCGGGGGGGGGGTGGCTCCTTTCCACTGATATTGAGAGGGCTTGCGCGCGATAAACTGTCAAAGTTTCAGGAAAAATAATGCATACTGGGAGCAACGCGCGACCCCTAAATGTGACAAATATTTCATTGCGCGCAGTGGATTAAATGCATGGTTGATTTTAGCGTGACCGATCTCATGTAAGGCTGGGCAAATGAATAAATTAAAGCGAGAAACTGAAAACAAAAACAAAGCGATTTATTCGTGATGTTAATCCCCAGCATTTCCACCATTTCATTCTAAGCAAACTGCTGCTTGTCTGAGCATACTAAACACTGAACAGCGAACCATTTGTTTGTCCATTCGCCTAGATTTGCCGGTGGTAGCGTAGGCGATTTGCAAGAAAGAATTTCGAACGAAATGGATAGTTTGAGGCAGGACAGACAAATGTGGTTCGCCGTTCAGTGTTTACCATGCTAAGACAAGCCGCAGTTTGCTTAGAATTTTAGAGTTTGCTTAGAATGGTGGAAATGTTGAGGATTAACATCAAGAATAAGAATCTTATTATTAAATCGCTTCGTCTTCTTGTTCAGTTTCTCGCTTTAATTTATTCATTTGCCCATGCAGCCTTGCATGAGATCGGTCACGCTAAAATCAACCATGCATTTAATCCACTGCGCGCAATGAAATATTTGTCACTTTTAGGCGTCGCGCGTTGCTCCCAGTTTGCATTATTTTTCCTGAAACTTTGACAGTTTATTAAAAAGCTTTCCTACTTTTAGACAGCTAAATAATATCTCAATTTCAGCTTCACATTTTCGCTCGCAAGCTCTCTCAATATCAGTGGAAAGGAACCACCCCCCCCCCCCTCGGTAACATAATTTTGTTAATGAAAAACCAAACTTGGCCTAGGTATACCAGATAAGTCTTAACTATCTCTGGGAAAACAAAAATTTGCCAAATTCTACAAAATATCCTGCAAAACGGAAGTTTTACATTAGGGACAATTTTTTTGATACACCCTGTAGATAAGTTGAAAGGTTTAGCCACCTGAATCGTCACAATGTGGTATGAATATTTTTTAGTTGTATAAACTAAAATCTAAATTAAAATTACTTTTTCTGGTTAGTAATGTATCGTGTCAATAGTCAATTTTCGTCTCGATTTGCTGGTTAAAATGGGACCACTCGTCATTACCACGATAAGCATCATTATGCGGTATGTAACTTTGTACTAATAAAGATTAGAATTCTTTATGAGTGCAAAGGTGAGAATCTTTTCATGAGGTGAAAAGCGTGGAGAAGCCGAGTGATAATATTCCTTCCATTCCACGAATAAAACGGACATTATTTGTCTTATATAACACCTAAAAATGTATACTTGAATAAATCATTCAATATACAGTAATGTCCAGAAATAACCTAACAAAAACCGCGGTTAACCTAAATCAGACCGAGGTCGAACCGCTGTGAGACCGATGCTGGACATTTATTCAACTCAGTCTGACAGACATTTCTTAAGACTCTTAAGATGTTTTCGATTTGATTATTTTGTTGTCGTTCTCAGCAGTTCATAACAATCCGTTCGGAAGCGATCGGCGAGCGAGATAAAATTTTTCCTTTGCGGTCGTCAGCAGTTTCTGTCGGGTCGACCGCAACCGAACTGCGACCGCAGTGATGGTCCCATTGGATATTTCATTGCATATTTTATGTTACATCAAAATATCATGCTATATTTTTATAGCTACGCTGTCATTATTCAACCTCATTTACGTTGATATTCTTTCTTTTAAATTGCACAACATACATGTCGTTATAGATTTTTCAACTACACCTGTGACGCTAAGGTTACGTGGACCATCAAGTGAAAAAGAGGCAGGTCGTGTTGAGGTGTTCTATCATGGATACTGGGGTACAATATGTGATTATTCATGGGATTTGAGAGATGCTAGGGTTGTATGCCATCAACTTGGCTACTTGGATGCTGTCAAGACACTTCAAAGGAACGAAGTCCCCAAAGGTTCTGGACAAGTGTGGTTAACAGATGTATCTTGTACTGGGGCAGAGCGAAATATAACAAGTTGTTCTCATAGTTCTTGGGGAGTTAGTCCTTGCACCCATGATCGTGACGCTGGAGTTCAATGTTCCACGACAGGTCGGTACTTATAATACATTAATATTGTAAAGCCATTAAAGCTACTTTGGGTACAATAGTTTTGTTAAAATATCTTATTTCTATTTATTTACTAGAAATATAAAAAAACTGCAACCTTAATAATTCCCAGGGGCTACGATCTTTTTTTACTTAATGAAAGCGAACTTACGCAAACACTAAGTGGGTAATGCATGTATTTTATACACCTTGTATGCGAAGTCCGACCCCTTTTAAAATCAACCCGTTACTACATGGGGCCGGTTGTAAGAAAGCTTGATAGCGCTATCTGGCGGATAGTGTTTTTTTTCAATCGCGTTAAAATCGCCCGTTGGTGGGTGTAAACTTTGATTAAATCTTAGGATCCTCTTCGATAATTGCTGGTTCCAAAGATGAAATTTTATTGCTTTTCAAGCATTTTCAGTGCGGTAGAAAAAAATAACTATCCGGTGCATGGATTGCGCTATCCAGCCTTCTATTAAAACATCTAAATCATCTTTACGGGTGATTGCTGCATTGGAATTCGCAAAGTTTGGTTGTAAATGTTATTAGCACAGTTTTGAATTTAAAAGACCGTGAATTTGATTATCAAATGCGTTTTGTTTACAAATGCTGTATATATTTTTTTACATTTCAGGAACAAAAGTAACCCCGTATGTTTGTAACCAAAAGTTTTAATCGGCGTATGGATACTTTTATTCCAAAGTTTGTCGCCATCTATATAGGCACACTCTGTGTCTGTGGTGCTGCTGTTCGCGTATATTTCTGTATTAATTTTACTGCCTAAGAAAACGTTTTTACGCTTCTTTTGCAGCTATAACCGTGTCCATCAGGTTACAAGGACAATCAAGTAAAGAAGGTACTGGTCGTGTTGAAGTATTCTACAATGGCCAATGGGGAACAATTTGTGATTCAGGATGGGACTTGAGAGATGCTAACGTTGTATGTCGTCAACTTGGTTATCCTGATGCTGTCAAAACTCTTGAAAGGAACTTGGTTCCTCCTGGCTCGGGAAAAATATGGCTAACCAATGTTGGTTGCACTGGGAAAGAACAAAATATTACAAGTTGTTTTCATAGTGGTTGGGGGAAAGCTCAATCTTGCTCTCATTTTAGCGACGTTGGAGTTGAATGTTCTAGGACAGGTAAAAATATCTAAAATCAATGTAGGATAGCGTATATAGCAAATGAATCTATCTAACACTACTAATAACCTAGAAACGAGTTAATGAATGGCAACATTTCAGACCCTCGTAATTATCGCTACTCTGGTTTTAATAAATGAAAGTAATCACCACACAAAGATCCAACCCAATTTCACGACCCAACGTTTCGACACTCCGGTCTAGTGTCTTCATCATGTAGGGGTCTGGTTGTGATGACTTTAATTTTCTTTTTTAATTTTTCAATCTTTGCATTTTTCTTTTCTACCTCTTGCTGCAACTCATCTTATGACAATTTAGGTGGTCACATGCAATTTGGCATGAAAAGATTTTTATATTTTTCAAATAAAAGAAAAAAATGTTACAAGACCATCTTAATCTCTAGAGAAGAGGGAGTCCATAAAATATTTGGAAAAATTACAATTATTCGGTGTTTTGGAAATTTCTTGAATCTTGTGGGTACTGCGTTATTCTCCAATCTAGTTTTTTGTCCACTTCTGTCAATATCGCTTTCCTTGAAATGGTCTGAGCATATAACTGAACTCTTGCTTGGGCACCAATCATTGCGATGATTTTTTTATCCATTGTTTTCTCCTATTTTCATCAGTTGGTAAACTAGTAGAGATGGTTTTAAATTAATTGTTTTAAATTAGAACTCAAGTACTTTACTGTATTGTTATAATGAGTTATCCCCGAGCCGGTGCGGAGCAGCTTGCAAAAGTAATAATTCTGCTCGGATTACACCCACGATGTGCAAATCATAGAGATTACAAATAATCCTAGACGAGGCATCGAGAAGAAACTGGGGAGTGCGTTAATGGGGGGCAAATCCATGTGCTGGATGTTCACTCATTCACGATGTCCGTCGGTTAGATGGCGGCAATGGAGGCCTGAGGCATACTGCAAGAAAGCTTACATGATCCGCCATCTTGGCTTCATTCATTAATGAGGGGAAGTCAAAGAGTGAGCGTTCCAGTCATTTGAGTTCACTGTTGCAAACACATGGCCGTTGCCAGTTCCTATGACTACAGTGCTTCCATTTCAAGAAAAATATTTCCATACCTCTTTTCTCATATACCACGTACCTTCCAAACCCCTTTAAAGTGCCCTTAACCCAGATGAGTTTTCTAACTATCATGTTACCATCCCAATTCTTATACCTAATTTCGTTTAACCGAGGCAAGGGGTTGCTTTATACATGTAGAAAGTAGTATATAGTATTATAGTGTTTATACCTTCATGCTTGTAGTGTAAATCTGGGGCCAACGCATTTGATGAACCACTTTTCGTACAAAAAATGCTCTAGAGAATTTCCTTTTTAATGTCTTCTCTTCATCCTTACTTCCTTTGCTATCACTACGTGGTTTTCCTTTGTTTTCTCCAACTTTCTTCTTTTTTGCACAGCGAAAAGCACAGCATTGAGCCCTCGAACTTTCGCCGTCATTCCAATATTCTAAAGGTTATAATTCAATAAGGTTCAATTTTTTTTCTTATCCAAAAGTTGCCTTTGAGAAGACATCATCAGAGTCTTTTCTCAGCAAAATGATGATAAGGTTTGCTTTGCTTGAAGATTTACAACTTAAAAAAATGATGTGAAGCATACTCATTGAAAATACAAAGTGTTTAATACACTAGTTTTTATAACAGATTTACTCTTCCACAAATTAATTTTTCTTTTTAGTATAACTCATAATAGAAAAATCACACAATATACAATAAGTTAAAACCACGGATCTTTAGTGTTGGTTTTCGCTTGTCCACTAATTTAAAAACATATTTGAAACGAATTTGAAAGAATGCTCTTGGTATATCTTTAACTTTTCATGTTATTACAGCCAGTAATTTTAAGCTTGGCATATAAATTATTTTGTATTTTTCGTTGTGCTATGTTGCATCACTTGCATGGAGGGACTTAAAAAGGGACTTATTGGATTCTGTTGTCTTTTTCTTCAATGTATTAAATTATTGTTTAGCATTTGCATTTTTAAATATTATATTATTGTTTAGCATTTGCATTTTTAAAACTGCTCCATATATAAATATACTGCTCTATACAATGACATTCTGTATAAACTGCAGTAAATTATCCTCAGAGTATTTTGAAAACTAACCTCGGATTTGTCCAGAAGCAGTAATTCTATATTTTGAATTAATCCTGTACCGAAATATCAAAACGAGCTCGCTTTGAGTGGTTATAAGACCCTTTCCGCAATCCCTTGCGCCCCGCAGAAAAATAATTATCTCAGTAAATAGAGAATAACGCCTGTATTCTAAAACCTAACTCACACTCAAACTCATTGAGTGTGAGATCCTAATCTTTTCATATCGTTTGAATGGCGGTATTTCCAGCCGAATAGGGGCTTGATTTTTAGTGATTTACCTTATATCTTTCCATGTATTCAGAGAAAATTTTCTCATTGATCAGCATTAACAAAATTTATATGTCACACTCAGTGAGTGTGAGTGTGAGTGAGCTTTTTGAATACAGGCGTAAGTATCTCAGTAAATAGAGAATAATTATCCCAGTAAATGGAGTATAATTATCTCAGTAGATAATTACTATCAAACCGATAGAAGCGACTGGGGGCGAGTCAGGTATCACAACAGCAAAAGCTAAAGAAAATAATGGCTCTCAAAAATCACACTACAAAATTTATGTATCTCATCGTGTCGGGGGAACACGTTTACGCGTCTTTTTAAGCTTCTAAAATGCTATCTAAATAAAGCTAGAGTCTTTATGAACCAGCTCAGACGTAGCGATTTCCCTATGCTGCCAACAAACAGAAATTGGAGCTGTAATGTGTCTAATATTCTCGGTGTATATACTTTCTTATACAATCTCAATCGTAAAAATATTCTTTCTCGGGAACTGGGCATCAAAAACTGAACCTACTTGGGCATCTCTACTTGTCCTCAAATTTTTAGTGTTTAAAGATCGATAAATAATGATGTTCTGGACTTCTCAATTATGGGTTACATAAAAAAACAAATTTTAGCAATTCCCTCTCATTTTTTATATATACTTGCGGATAAAAACAAAAATCTAGTCCGGCTTGTTATTGCCTAGCTTAGTAACCACGCGTGTTTGATCTATTTTTCGTTCTTGAGCACTATAAATGAAGTTAAACTACCGCAAAATTTAGCAGCGTTCCGGTGGTCGAAAGGTAACGAGCTCGCACTGCTTGCGCATTATCCCGGTTCGATCCATTATATATTATTGAACCTCTAAAATACCGTTTGGTTAGGTGTGGGACAGGTTTATTTTTAAGTGTATTTGTCTTTAAAAATTTCCGCAGCCGGTGACAGACTAGTTTCTTGTCTTTAGCTGCAAGTATTTCTTATACGTTACGGCATTTTACTACGGAGTCTATAAAATTAGCGCTAATTCTAAATCGTGCTTGCTTGACCTTAATAATGGCCTGCATTTCTTATATGTGTGTTTCTATTTAACAATTGGTCGCCGAAGGTGAGCGAGGTTATTACGAGCCTACATTCATTGAGGCGAGCTGGTAATCACCGAGCCTGATGCGACTAATTTGTTTTAGTATAAATTTCGAGGTGTTTACAAATAGGAATCAACACAATTTCATAAAAATTTATAATTATTGATAATTATAATTATTTATAATTACAAGTTTCTTATTTTGAGAAACGGCAACAAAAAGCTATAGTCACTCTATCACGCGAGAGACGGTGAATCTTGACCAATCAGAATGCAGGAAAATCAATAGACATCTCGAAATTTGTACTAAAACTGTAAAGAAACGGGAATCGGTTTTCTATTTTTAACTATAAATTAATGGCAACAATCACAAGGAACAATTGTATCCATATTTCGTTTTTAAACGAATACAATATTTATTTATTCATTTATATCCACACATTTTTACAGTTATACACGCGTTACTCAGGCTACAAGGGCCACTGAGTGAAGATGGAACTGGTCGTGTTGAGGTACTCTACAAAGGACAATGGGGAACAATTTGCGACAATCGATGGGATATGCGAGATGCCAGGGTTGTATGTCGTCAGCTTGGTTACCACAACGCTGTGAGGACTCTTCAGAGGAGCGAGGTTATTCCTGGTTCTGGACCAATATGGTTAAACAACGTTCAATGTACGGGAGAAGAAGAAAGTATTAAAAGTTGTTTACATTATGGTTGGGGTGTCAGTTATAGTTCGTGTTCTCATGATCGAGACGCCGGCGTAGAATGTTCAGGTGACTAAGTGGCGTAGCCAGAATCGATGATTGGAGGGGGGGCAAATTCATAAATTCATGTTAATAGACTGTAGAGAAAATTGATTTGAAACGAAATTAATGCTACGTATCACGAATATATGAATATGCACCCCCCCCTGGAATTATCGTGCTAGCTACGCCACTGGGGTGATTATTTAAATAGGACTTTAAGCAGGGCAATGATAAAGGGTTTGTTATTTATGCGTACAATTGTTATATATATATATATATATATATATATATATATATATATATATATATATATATATATATATATATATATATAATTAGAAATGCATATGACTAGATTTGCATGGGATTTCAATCATATTACACAAAATATGCAATTCTAATTAGACTTTAAGTTTCATGCATTTAAGCAATCAACAGGTAACGTACAAATAAAAACACGGTTAAATTACGCGAGCTATTAGTTTGTTGACGCGTTTCAACGTTTGAAATATCCCGTGAGGAATTTGCGTGCGTGCACGCATTTTCTGCGCCTCGGGTTTTAAATATGATAAAACGCTCCTTCTCGTGTTTTGAATACTTCTTAAAATGTTATATTCACGAAAATTTTCCCATGCATGGACGTAACATTTTAACCCCGATATTTGTTCGAGTGTAAGAACGTATTAAAAATGTTTTTTCTATTGCCTAACATTTCAGAGAGACTAGATGTAACAGTCAATTGCTCCAGTTTTATCGCAGTAAATCTTGGTGATGATATAACATGCTTGTGTGAAGCAAAAGGTGGAAAACCTCCAGCCAATGTGACATGGTATAAAGATGGTGTCCAGTTTGGTGACACAGAACAGGAACAAAACGTGTTGACTCTCAGTAATGTCAATGAAACAGATATTGGAACATACACATGTACAAGAAAAAGCCAAACTTTTGCGAACGAAAAATCAATTTACGTCGATTTTTACGGTAAATATAATTCTAAAAAATACATTAAATAAAAATGGGTAAACACAAAAGGTGGGGATTTTCGATTTTGGGCTGCGAGCAGGCTAGGGATCTTATTGCGCCACTGATTGGTCAAGCCAAACTCGTACACGGGTAATGTCGCTGTAAAGCCAGGGGCCAAAGGAATACTGACAGTAAAGCTTGGCCTAGGGTTTTTGAAGTAAAAGTTACATTACATAATTATTTTTTCATTACACCTGAACACTCGCTTGCGTTTAGAAAAAAAAATGTTGTACAACAAAATCGTTTCGCCAAAGGGTCTGGGAATTCAGCGAATCAAGTTTGTGGCGAAGATCCTTTCAGAGGATTCTCACACAATGGAAATTTAAACAAACATTTGTATACACTAATTGTACTTTCGAGACGAAGACTTTGCTTTCCAAGATAAAGTCATAAGAAGTATTAAGCCTTTAAAAAAACGTCACGTTTGTCTTTTGTTTGGCAAACATAAACAGTTAAACTAGCCATAGAAACGATAGTTTATTTTAAACAAATCACATCCATGCACGGATTTAGCTACTTAACAATTAGTTACCGAAGACCAGGGGCCGGTTGTATGAAAGCCGGATAGCGCTATCCACCAGATAGTGGTTTTTTCAATCCCTTTAAAATCGCCCGTTGTTTGCTAAAACTTTAATTAAACCGTAGTATTCCTAAATCGAGTATCCTTTTTAATAATTGCTGGTTCCAAAAATGAAATTTTATCGCTTTTCGAGCATTTTTAGAACGGTTGAAAAAATCACTATCCGGTAGATAGCGCTATCCGGCTTTCATACAACCGGCCCCGGGTGATAACAAGCCTTTATTTTCTGCGCCGAAGTAAAAATTTCGAGGTTTTTACAAATAATAATCATAATAATATATCATTAAAATTTATAACTACTTCAAATTTCTTAGTTGAAATACAACATCAAAAAGTAGTCTCCCTAGGGATTGATTCGACATATCAAACTAAACTAGGCAACAACCTTTGGCCGTAGTTTCACCGCTTGTATTCTTAAAGTTCACTCAAACCCAAACTCATCGAGTACGCGATCTTAATCAAAACACAATGATTTCACGACTTGTATTTCTACTCCAAAAAGTTTTATCATAAATCTTACCATTGAGTAAGGAAAGACAACATGATTGATGTCGCTCTTAATGAGTACGATGGTGAGTTAGTTTGTTGAATACAGGCGTTGGGCATGCATTCCCCAATTTTTTTTACAACTTGCATCTTTTAGGCATGGTTCATACTTGTCCTAAGGATCGGAGGTTCCAGTTTTTTTTTAATTCACTAGTGCGCAAAATGCTTTGTCTATCGGAAAATGACACAACGGATCCCCGATTCTTAGGAGCAAATGTGAACCAGCAGGCCTTATGATACATATTAATCTTTCAGAGAAACCAAATTTAACAATCAATTGTTCGAGTCCAGTCACAGTTAATAATGGTGATAAAGTAATATGTCTTTGTGAGGGAAAAAACGGATACCCGCCAGCCGATGTGACGTGGTATAAAAATGACGTCCAGATTGGCGAGACGAAAAAGAAAAAAAATGTTTTGACTCTCAGTAACATTAATAGAAATGTTGGTGGAACATACGTATGCGTGGGGAAAAGCGACTATCTCACAGATAAAAAATCAATTGAAGTGCTTTTCAACGGTAAGTATAGATTTAATTTTTATCATTAATTTTGCCATGCAGGCATGCAGATTTGCAAGCACAGGCAAAAATCTATTGCTAAAATCTCGAATTAGCTTTCCTTAAAGAAATGTTTAATTCCCTTTATGTCAAAATACATAAAATGTGTATGAAATATCGAAAAAATGTTTCTTTGAATTATCCAGGACAAAATGTCCTTGAAATATCCAAGACAAAACAAACCTCCTTGAAGTATCCTGGACATGAAATGAAATGTCCTTGAATTATAGAGGACAAAATGTCCTTGGGATATCCATGCAAAATGCTTTTTAATTGCCCAAGACAAAATGTTCTTGAGTTATGAAGGGCAAAATGTTCTTTAATTATCCAGGACAAAATGTTCTTGAATTATTCAGGGCAAAATGTCCTTGAAATATCCAGGAAAATTGCCCTTGATATGTCCAGGGAGAATGTCCTCGAAATATGCAGGAAAAAATGCCATGGATTATCCAGGGCAAAATGGGCTTGAGTTATCCAGGAAAAATGTCTTTCAATCATCCACTGACAAAATGTCCTGTAATAATTATTCAGAAATATCTTAATTGAAAAGGAAACGCAGGAATCAGGAATTATATAAAATGAAATAGCTTATTCTATGGCGGTAAGTAAATAAAGCGATACGTTTAATGAATTAAACTTCAAGTAAAGGTACTCATGCAAACAATAGGTTTTTATGCGTCCTTTCCTTTTCGCTGCTGAGGTTATGTGCACACGAGCGTCGTTTTCAAAGGGTACGAAGTACGAAGCTGGTGCGAAGCGCCGGTAGGGGTACTAATTCCGCTCGGAGATATATTATACACAGATATTTTGACTGAACATTTTATGTCATGGACGGTCAACGTTGGATGGTTTTGTTATGTGTGCCCGAAATTTGAACGAGTAGAGACTGGTATAAGGAACGACGGAAAATAAGCAACGTGCTGATCGCTGGTTTTAACTTGGTGGGGACTTATATACGCGTCACTAAAAATAACGCCCATCGTCCTTGATATAATTAAATAATTGCGGTTGAATTTTGTTTCGCATTTTCACAATCACCTACAAGCTGGCAATTATAAGCGGTGCAACCATACAAAGCATGGTTCGGCTACGTGGTTACCTTTTCTCATATAGTACTGTTATTACTCCGGTGTCAGCGACGGAGTTCAAAATTCAAGACTTGGACGTGCGGCACGCCGGAGTTAACGCCAGAGCAGGCGTCTTGTTCAGTATATTCCTGATAAAAACTGTTTTAAAGACTATAGCGTATTGTTAGTTGGTGCGTTTAAATACGACAGATTTGTATTAGTGTTTAGTGTTCTTGTTAAATTCATCATCAACTTATATGACACAAACAAAAAATTCCAGGGAACTGAGTTTATCTTCATCGCTCATAATTTAGTTGCAGATAAATCTGTCCGAATAATTATATGAATATGCAACAGAGCATTCATGCCCGGCTGAAACAATTATGTTAGACTGTTAACCAAACTAACAGGACACAAATAACAGGTAAAAATTCAAGAAATTTGCCGCCAAACGGAAATGCAGTTGACTGACAGGTAAGTAAGTATATTATTGAAAAATTTCGCTATTTTGAAATATAATTTTCACTTATTTTTTCGCGAACAGTCTTTAAAGAGACATTTGTTTTTGTTGAATATTTTAATAATTTTTAAAAAACGGCAGCATTCGAAGTGAAAAGTATCATTGTTTGAACAGCCTATAAACACTTTTTTGAATACATTACCCTTGGAACCATGGTTGGAAGCCATTTATTTTTGTTCTGATACATATTTCAAACATTTTCTTCTAAAGAATGCTTAACTAGAAGAGGTAAAGAACTTCGTACTTTAGGTCCAAAGAAACAGAGGCTAAAGCCCCCTTGCGTTTGACCGCAATCTCTCGTGCACTCTTGTCGACTTTGATGTAGCTCAAATTTTAAAGAGAGTTGATGAGAGTTCGTGCCCGTTTCGTCGGTCATCGGAGATGATGAGAGTTGTTCAACAAGGTATTACAAAATAAATACAAAACAATACTAATTTTAGTTTGCTCTTTGTGCATGATTTATTTCCTTCTTGTTATCTGGATCATTAGCTGATCGATTATGCGACTGGTCCATTTTCCCAAACTCGTTCAAAGGTTTCGGTCTACTTGTCCCAAAGGTCATGATAACCACTTGTTTTATTAGTAACTCAGGGTCATTTGACGTGATCATTTATATTTAGGCACATGTAAATAAGCTGTCTCATCGTGGGTGGTTATTGACGGTAGTTATTTAAATACATTTTATTCTTTCCATATTTTAGTATGCATTTGTTGACCCATTTGTCAAATAATAACAATTTAGAAGCATTTACATTGTCTGCGCGTAAAAAACGTGACAGTGGAACGCAGCCCATCTTCGTTGTACTTTTACGTACGTATGTTTAGTATTTGTAATTGTCCATTTGTATTGTCTTTGGCGCCAAATTTGTTACTATATCTGTAACTTGTAATTTGTTCCCTAGAATGAAACCGCGCTAGAAGCTGGCGTAAATCTCAGTGGAGTGTTTGAGAAAGGTGCATAGTTACATCAGTGTAAAGCCGGGTTTCCACTTGCGAATTTTTTCGCGCGAAGCGATAATTTTCGAAGTCACGCATGCGCATCTCTCAAATGACGTCACATATGCATGGCGATAATATTCGAAAGCTGTTCGCCACGGCGAAAGCTGCGAATGATTTCTACTTTTTCGCGACGAAAAATGTCGCTAGCCAATCAGATTTCAGTGTTTTTGTTTGTGCATAATTAATTTGTCGATAGCAACTCAAATAACGAGTTTGCTCATGAAAGGAATGCAATTTCCCAACCATCTACCCCGCAGACAGCCGATAATTTTGACAAAGAAATTTTCTTAGAAGAAGTACGAAAATATCGATTTTTATGGGACGTAAACAGTGAGAGTTACAAACAGCGACCGGTGAAACAGAATGCTTGTATTTCGCGCGTTTTTTGTGTCCTGTGGAAAACAATTACCCATTCGCGCGAAATATTTCGCCTCGAAAATTATCGCTTCGCTCGAAAAAATTCGCAAGTGGAAAACCGGCTTAAGGTCCTTCACGATGGAACAAATCAACATACTGCATAGTGAAATAATGGCCGTCGTAAAATCCTGATTCGTTCCACAGATAAACCTTCTGCATCCGGTTTGTTAACTCCATTCCTTGAATTCGGAATTTTCATGACAAAATTTCTATAATTATGAAAGGCTGGCCAATCCCATCAGGCGGCATCTCGCTATTCACTACTCAAGATTTCGTCCAGAAGGGCTGAAAATATGGCATTTAAACGCAGCGAGGATAGCTTGGCCCTTTTATTTTAGTAAATCTGAATTAAAGACCACCGTATTCGCCTCACGCTCCTCGACTTTACGACGCTTTTTTCGATTCAAATAATTTGCCCATTTCTGATCTATAAATTTGGACATCATTATTCATAGTATGATTCGGGAAGCCATTCAACGAGGTTTTTGAGAGCAAAACAGCCGAACTAAAAGGCTGATGAACGAGCCCTATACTGGTGGAGCCCACTCTCTCTTTATATGGCTGACGTGATTCGCCCTTAATATGCAGAATATAGCTAAGAGTGTGAAACATGGCCTTTATATCCCTAATATACTGATGTTTACTTTTTAAAGGACATTCCATGAGAGTTAAACATAGTGAGAAAATAGATAGGATTTCCGCCCTGTACTATTTCAGGTTCATTTAAGAGCAGATCTCTCATTTATCTCTAGAGCAAGTATGAATTAAACGCCTTTGTCTGCAGCGTTAATGGTAATTATTGTTAACCAATTTTCGAGAAAAAATCTATCATGTTAATTTTGTAATTAGCACAAAATTTCCGCCTTTGTTTATAGTTTTAGAGTTACCTTCCCTACGCTATTGTTATAATAGAGCACTTTTTATACATTCCTTGTATCCAGGAAGTTGTTCGTATAGTATTAATAAGTTTTAGCCTTCACTTTGATCTGATGTAATTCAGCGCTATCGATATCTAAAGCGCATTCGAGATCTACAGGGTGCCCCAAAAAAAACCGAAAACTATTGAAATCACTCATTGTTAAAATTTGAATGCCGTGTGCACGAATTTTAACCCGTGGGGATTTAATGCAACTCAGTGAAATGCTAAATGCTTTGTGTTGCTAGAGAAAGGGGACATGTCAAAGGTCATGGTGATTGAGATGCACATTTAAATATTGTTAATAAATATCATTTTCGCGTACGAGCAAATTTTACTGCATCATATGCATGCATAAAAATGCTTATGGTAAACATTTACACACTTGTGGGTCCCAACAGAGTGCTTAGGCATTCAAACTCTAACAATTACATTGTTATGGGTGATTTCAATAGTTTTCGTTTTTTTTGGGACACCCTGTGGAATATGGATGGCATATATTTTGTATGCACCGTTTGTATTACTTTAACCTTTATTATAGAGGCTTCCATTTAACGATATAGCGAGTGGGTCCATGCAGACGGAAAGGTAATTTTGCAAGCATATTAGCGAACCGTGGATTAGAGCAGTATAGAACACGCGGTAAGTACCTTTCTGCTAGAATTATAGTTGAGGCTAGTAGTTACGGTCTATTTTTCAGGTAATGATAAAAAAAGTGATTATCCTACAACCTTGCATTGCCATTCAATTTCTAAAATTCATAACGATTTAAACTTTTCGATATGAACCATGCACCGTCACGCGTAACAACGTTTGTAAATGAAACGCAGCTTTTATGGCATGCTGTATTTTAGCTATTTCATACTTTCACGATTATAGTTTGGTCTACATGCAGATTCTAAATTAAAAGAGTACCTACTACTCATGAAGGCAGGTTTTCTTAATGCAATAGATCGTTTACCCTTCATTTCATGAACAATTTGAAATTCTTATTTCATTCAAGTGACTCTTTGGCTTTGCTGGTTCACAAAATGATGAGTCTCGCCATTATTACTGGCGTAATTTTTGGTTTAGATTTTGTATCACACCATTGTGAAGGTAAATATTTTTTTATATAATATTGTTTTTCATTTACGCCTGTATTCTAAAAGCTCACTCAAACTCATTGAGTGGGAGATCTCATTCTTCCCACAAATAAGAACTTCATTTTCAGTGCTTTACCTTGGATCTTTCCACTAATTAATACAGAACTTTCTCATTAATGAGCAATAACAAGTTAAAATTTCTATGTCGCACTCAATGAGGTACAAAATTTGATTTCCATGGGAATGACATCGATCAACACACAACATCCATACAGCATGTACAATTTGACTAAAAGCCACCGAAACGTACAGAAATGTATGAATAAAAAATTCAAACTATTACTAAAATGAATATTCGCTTTATGAAAAACTTTTGGAGGAGAAAATTGATTCAGCTTGCTTGCAGGCTTCGAGATTATCCATGATAGAGATTATTCTAGAGGCAAACAGCGCGATGGGACATAAGAGATGCTAGGTTGTCGTCAACTCAGGTATATAGATTTATACTTTATTCAAGCTGGATTTTTTCTGGTTCTGAAAAAATATGAGAGGAAAGAAATTACAGGTTTTATTTTTGCTTATTTAATTTTCACCCTAAAAGTGCCCCTCAAATGTAGTTTTCGCCCCCCTAACAACGTGTTCCTTCCCGCGTTCCTGTGTTTTACCAATGTAAACAAATATGTCCATAGTTTCCCGGCGATTCAAATATAACAATGATTTCGGAAGATATGGTTGAAAAGCGCTCTAGAAGGAATTTTTACCTTACCTACTTTTTTCACTCCTTTTGTATTTTCAGGTACTGTATTTTTGTCAATATATCGTATTTCCTCATCTGTCACTTTGACAAAAACACCTGGCCGCCATTTTGAAAATTCGCTTATGTGATTACCGCTTAGTATTGCGAGGTCGATCGACCAATCAAAGGTTAATTGAAAAAGACCGAAAATTCCTTGTTCTTTATAGTTTTAAAACACGTTCCCCAACTTGCTTACAAATCCGTGTTTAATTATAAGTTTATGTTCTTTTCCACTTGGTCTGTATAAGATAACATGACCCCTTTGGTAAATGGTCTTTATTACACATATTAATAGCAGATACGCTAAATCATTGATGTGTTTACACTTTTTAAGAATTATACATGCTCATATAATTACTCATATAAGAGTCGAGGCTTCTATTTAACGATAAACTGTAGCGAGACGTTCCAAACGAAAAGGTCGTATTGCAAACAGATCAGCGAACAGTGGACTAGCAGTATATAGAACACACGGTAAGTACTTTTCTGCTAGAATCATGCTGGCTGCACCTTTCTATTTTTTGGTTAATGATAAAAAGAGTTATTATCTTGTAATTTTATCGGCTGTGGAGCCCTTTTGTTATGAATTTTTTTCAAATCTTAATGCATCCTATCTCGTGATCGCAGTTTTAACTTAAAAGGTCCAGAATTTACCCAAAATGGTTCTGTGCACATTTTATTGGGCACTTTCACAAAAGAGCTTTATATTGGGCACTTAATTACTTTGTATAGGCATTACCAGGAATAATTGACAAAGTGTGTCGCTTAGCCTCCTCCGCAGGCATCTCTTATGTATTTATATTAGGCATTTATATTTGGCTTGGGTTAGTTATGTCGGGTGTGTGCGAGAGATCTCTCCCGCTTTCTTCCTCGCTTTCCCCGACACAGCTAACCCAAGCCAAATATATATGGCTAATATAAATACATAAGAGATGCATCCGCAGGAGGTTAGCTGTCGCTTCTGCTGGCTTATTTGAAAAATATTAATGTTTCACTTTATATTTAATGTTGCCACTAAGGCAAGAACATTGCACCGGCTTCGCAAAAGCGTAGGTTCGATTCCTGCCGGAGGACCGATAGTTAACTCATTTTTCTATCAACTGTTCGTTTTGGTAGCTTGTATAGGTTTAGATGTTAGCAAATTTAGAAGTCATAGTGTTCGAGCAGCAACTACATCCTTTTTAGCGTCCAATAACTGTAACATTAAGGATATAATGTTGTCCGCAGGATGGTCGAATGAACAGACATTTCAACGGTTTTATAATAAACCGAGCGAGGAGGAATTTAATTTTGGCGCCTCGGTGTTAGAGTGCTATACAAACGTTAATTGTTCCCAGGATATAAAATATACCATATATGTAATATACTTCTCTATATATCGAGATATCTTTCCTCTTGGTTTTATCACGCTGGCTATAGTTAGACTGGTTTGTGTATCTCTGCAATATTAAAATTAAGTATTGCTGCAAGATAAAAATTGTTTACTAACAGCTTGTTGCTCCATGTTATTTGATCAATAACAAATTTTTAGGAACAGTTCAACTTTCTTAAAGTAATATCACGTTTTTCAAATAATCAATAGCGCTGGGTTGAGCGAGTGGTCCAGTTTTTCGCCTTGCAGCAAAGATTGTGTTAAGGAAAGGCGAATATATTGTTTCTCTTCAAACCACGCTGACTATCCTGGGGCATCGTCGCATGGCGTGGAATCTCAATGGCAGAATTGCACGAACGAGGAATGTTACAGTAGGTCCTTTACTTCGAGCACTTCAATTTATCGGATATCAGTGACATACGTAGATCAGTGGCTGAGAAGTTGTCTTTTCCTGTCGTGACTCGTGTAAGTCGTGTTGCGTGGCGATGTCTTGATCCCACACTGTGTTGACCAGTGTTGGCATGTGCGGTGATGCTGAGTCATTCGGCCACATTTGGGGCAAAACAAATCTTTTAACATTTTCAATGATAGAGACCTTCATCCTGTAAAAATACGAATACCTGCCCGTCCTCCCCACGGACCTCTACGCTTATGAGAGAACCAGTGACACATATATAGCTAATTGTATGAGTCATTGACTAGAACGCAACCAATGACCTAACCCCGCAAGCTAGCCTTTTCCACCTTCGCTCCACGGCCCACGATGGCTTGGCAGGTTGCCAATAGCCTTTCAGAAATACAACCTCTGAGCTCGTTTATCCTCGTTAAACGCCTATATTTTCTCGTTTCAGCTGCTGTTGCTGGTCACTGGGGTCGCTGGTCCTCTTGGACAGAATGCGATGAAAATTGCAAGCGTCATCGATCCAGAAAATGTTCAGATCCCGCCCCGATACATGGCGGGAACGACTGCTCAGGGGTTGCGAAGGAAGAAAAAGATTGCTACGCCAACAGTACATGCAACCCAGGTTTGTTTTTTGGAACAGATCATTTCAGCTTGGTTAGACAACATCTTGTCTCTGCCTGCTCATCATGTTTGAAGAGCGTTTTAGCTGCTCAGGCGAAGTCTCGTTAAACTAATGATGGAATATTCTCAGTTTTATTTCTTGGTAGATAACTGTGATTGTCCATGTATTGAAATACATCGTTCGACACAACTTCGTAGGATTAGTTTGTTCTTTGATTAGTTTGTCCATGCATGAGGGTATAGGAATAACAGGTCACTATTCTAAACCAGGAGCGGGAGACACAGGAGGGTTGGGGGCCCCTCCCAGGCCCAAAAGTAAATTTGTTCTACCGCCCCGTTGATTTAGACTCAACCTTGTAGTCCCAGCTAGCAGTTTTATTTTGGAGTAAATATGAGGCAATGACCAAAATCATCCAATATCATTCGATACTTTCCAAGCATCCTTGATCTTCGAATGTTTACTTAAAACGGTTTTATTCCTGTGGAAAAACTGCTGCTTGTTCACATTCTTACGTGACAAATTTTTGAAAAATTACCGATAAATTTTCATTTAGGTGGAATTTGAGGCAATTCGTGGCCGATCTTTTTATTCTGACATGGCTTTGGATGACATCCATTTCACGGAAATGCCCTGTGGTAAGTCGCTACACTCTGGGATAAACATGATCATTTTAGTTCATCGATGGTTCTCAAATTAATGTACATCTCTGATTGACTCTGAAACTACTTAAGGGACCCCGACTGGTTCTTCTGATAGATGAAGGGCCTTTGATAAGACCAACAATGCCTTGATCCTTCAATAAAACATGATTCTCGCGATGGTAGAAATTGGAATCATTTTTTAATGCTAACAGTGGTTTTGCATTTGAAACATTGATTCAACGAGAATGCAAGTTGGCAAGCAAAGGTTAATTTTTCTGCATGAGGGATTTTTGTTGATGAACTATCAATGCTTGGTCAAACGTGAACAAGAGTTCTATGCGATTTAAACCGAGTTGACTGGCCATTGATCTGAATTTAGGACAACATTTAACAACCAACTTTCACTGTAATTTTTTGAATATAAAATTAAGTACACATCAATGACTTTTGTGTCCATTAACAAAGATATATCCTTTAAGTGAACTTTCTACAGTAAAGAGGGGCTTATGTTTTGAAACAAAGATACTTTGTTACAGCAAGCTTATCTTAAACGAGCTTTACAAAAGCTCTTTGTTCAAATGACAATTGTTCGGTTCTTGAAATCAACACACAAGGCAAACGTCAAACACAGCTCTTCGTATATATTTAGGTATTCAACACTTGGGATGTTTTAACGATCGTTATAAAAGAGCTTGCTTTGCCAGACTTGGTTGCGAATCTCTGGGATAAAATAGACTGGTATGACATGCAAAAGACCGTCAGAGAATACGCCTGTGTTGCTTATGACAAAGGATACAAGGTATTTATAAAATTATTGAAATGCCAGACCAGTGCAAGGCTTTCATGTTTGTCTAAGGCCTGAGTAAAGTCAATTATAACTGGACCATCCACAACATGGATATTTTGAATCAATTCCTCTCATATTTACGGTGATAATACTGCATTGCGTTAACCTAATATGAATTTCGCTTCAATTTTTCAATGAACAAGCATTGATTATGTTGTTATTTAGTATTTTGCTGTGCAGTTTTACGGAGAGTGTTGGGGCGCAAGAAGTATGATTGAATATGACAAATATGGTGCTTCCAACGACTGCTGGTCTGGTGTCGGAAAAGATTTCACGAATTATGTTTATAAATTCACGAAATAAGATACGTTTTATTTTCATTCTATCTATATCTCAGCATTCCCAATATTTTGGGATTAAGCCACTAGTAGGTAGGAAGTTGCATGACAAAAGTCACAAAGATTGGAAAAAAAAACTTGCGTTCGTGCAAATCTATTCTTTTAGAGAGTTTACCGTTCAGTATTGTATATATATTTATTTTAATTTTTGAATAGAAACAGCCTACTATTGCGTTTAATGATTATTTAAAGCGAATAAGAATAATTGACATCTATTAATATTACCACTGATATCAAAGCGAGTATCATATTTCTAATGCAGACATAACTCTAACACAAACATATCTCTAATACAAACATCTCTCTAATAGAGACATCTCTCTAATACAGACATCTCTCTAATACAGGCACCTCTCTAATAAAGACACCTCCCTAATACAGACATCTCTCTAATACAGACCTCTCTCTAGCACAGGCATCTCGCTAATACAGGCATCTCTCTATTACAGACATCTTTCTAATACAGACATCTCTCTAATACAAACGTCTCTCTATTACAAACATCCCTATCTCTACACTACAGACATTTTAACTTTTGATTGATGTGAACGAGAAAATAGCTATGATGTAATGATGTATGCGTGATCTTATCTGAACGTCCATAACTTATCTACTTGTTCGCATCTATCAAAATAAGAACTTGGTCGTAATACAGACATCTTTCCAATACAAACATCTCTTTGACATGACTGCACAATTCGTCAAGTCAAGACAGGTTGAAATTCATCCCCAGTTTTTGACCCAAATTATTAAAAAGGCGTGCATTTATTGAGTTCGTTCAATCATCGAGCCAAACACAAACGAGAACTCTTGGCTGAGTTAAAACTTTAAGCTGACTTCAAAAGACAGTTGACAATTGACATTATCAGAAAATCATGTATCAGCACACATAAACCTGGGCCTAATCACACTTGATCTCTGCCAGTCGAGATGCAGAATTTGTAAAGGTACGTTCGGTGCACTGTTATTATTTTATCTCTGTTCTGGCATTACACTAGTTTTCCCACAAGACTTGATAAGTGAGAGGCGAGATTGCTCAACTAATGGTGCTCAAATCTTTCAACCTTTGTAGATAACTGTCATTTCACGGCGGAAATACTGTCAGTGGGTCTGCAAATAAGGATGAAATGCTATTGGAAACACAAAGGACCCTCAGAAACAGGAAAAACTGGTATCAATCAATACCATATTACTAGAACGGGTAAGAAATACAAGTGATTCGTCATCACAATTTCTCAATATTATAATCATCACACCAGATATCACCTTTATTGCATTCGTCATAATCGTTATCCATCGTTGTCCATAATTGTCCACCGTTATCCATCGATCATACATTATCATACATAACTGTTTTTTGTGGTCCATCAATATCATCCAATGTGTATACATTATTATCCCTTAACATCAATTATCATCCCACCTTGGTCACCTGCTATCGTTCCTCTTTATATTAAAACCATTTGCAACGATGCCAAAGATATTCATTATTGCCAGAGCCCAAGATCGTTACTGTCAGCTATACCATCAGTTTAATGTGCATACAATATCAATAGTTAATATTTATACCCACCATGGGCACAAAATAGCTCTAATTCAGTTCCTAGTTACAACAAACGCCACTAATAAAATATAACAACGCGCAATCCAGCTTAGTTTTAAACCTAATTTCGGTCAGTATTATAACAAATTGGACGAACCGGACGGTGACACAGCTTAGAACAACGGATATTTAGTTTCCAATAGCAACGATACAATCTTCCGTTAGAAATCTAGGCTCATGTTATCAGACACGCGATAACACACCTAATCTTAATAAGATGAAACAAATAAATATTCCCAGATGATTGTGGACAAAACTCCCCTTGCGAATGAAGTATCAATATAGTGCAATATTTGCATAATGCAAGGTATCCTGTTCCAATATAGTTTAGATAAAGAAACTCTGACACTGTAAACTTGACCAACCCTTGAATCAGTTGGATGCAGCAACCAGGAACACTGAACATAAACACAAGAATTTTTCGTGCACGAGTTTGTGTTTATCCTGTGTTCGTGTTCAGTCAAAATTAAGTATTAGCTTGTGTCTTCAGTAAAAATGGACAGGCAGGCTGGCCCACTTGGCGAGATCCTGCTCGAAAGAGGCGAGATCTTTCTTAGCGGGATGAAAATATTTTCATATAAACTCTCCCAGCGGGCTGGCCCGGTTGCCGAGGTAGAACCAATTTTTACAATTTTTGATGTTTCTCGGCGTTTCTTTTTATAGTTTTGAACAGTACATGATTAAAAACTAGGTATGTCTTCAATTGTGACGAGTATTCTCAATTCAACACTTGGTTTATTATGGAATAAGGTCAGAGACTCGACGGCAGAAAAATTCAAAGACGGCGATGTAACCGATGCAGAAATTCGAAAGTTTGTCGTACGCGAGTTAAATGATATCAAGTCTAAAATCGATGGCCTTTCCCGATCAACTTTACTCGCCAGTTACGATTTTCTAGAAGAAGGAGTTGTGTTACTCAGTGTTTCTCTTGATAAATCAAATCCCGAGCAGAAAGCGAGCGAAACTCGGGACAAACCGGGTGAACCTTCGAGCGTTATTCAGTCTGGTATCTTAAACCAAGCAATAGAGCTTCCTCGCGCCATGGAAAAGCTTAAAATCAACTTGGACAGAGAGTTTGAAACTGCGAGGGAAAGATTCAAAGATGCGCGCAAGACAGCAACCACTGCTTTCTGGAATGAGGCATTTAGTATCGAAGATCGAATTTTTGCCGCGAAGCTACGAATAGTTTCAGAAATACTGGAACATGTCGATCGTCCTGAGACCGCAATCACGTGCACTGGGTGTTTGTCGTTTTTGAAGAAGCTTCATAGCTTACCAGCCATTCAAGAGATATTCTCGGTGTATTTGAACGGTGGATTCAAATCGTTGTTGAATAAAACTCAACGAGTGGAGAACGTCAAGTCGGTTATGTTAATAAACTATGTGTTGTTTCAATATGTCGGGAAATTCAGCAGCAAGTATTTGTTTGAAGTGCCTGCCTGCATGCCAACGATTGAAGTTCCTGATCGTAGTTTCCACCCAATAAGAAATTGGAAGGAAGTTTCAACAAGAAAGTCTATGGGAGAGGAATTGCCTCATCCTTCCTACGAACAGTTCCTTGATGAAAAAATAATACCCGACTTATCTGCTGTGAACAGTCAGGGGGATATTCTTACATTCCCTGAAACTGAGTCTAGTGACGATATCATGATTATTCATGCGGCAGGAAAAATCAAACGGGTTGAAATACCTGAATTTCCAGATAATTTTTTACTGGCGCTTGCTGTTGATATGAATAACAATGTTTACGTGGTGAGAAGACGTCTGGGTGAAGCATTCATGTTGATGATATTGGATGAGAATTACGATGTAAAAGCAAATCATACATTGGATTTTCTCGAGGACAAAAGTGTCTTTGCTATTATGATCGCGATATGCAAAGACGATGATATTATCATCATCCAAGACGAAGAGCCTCATGTGTATGTTTGTGACAAGACGTGTCAATTGAAATACAAGTTTAAAAGTGACTCGAGGTGGGCATTTTCATTAAGTATTTCCCAGCAGAATGGAATCATGATACCAACAGACGATGGTACGGCGGTTCAAATATACACCAAGGAAGGAAATCTGAAGACAACAATAAAAGTCCCAGAAGATCATAAGGTATGGAGGGTGGCATTTCACTACGAAATTTGTAAAATATTGGTTTTAACCAGGGATAGAGAAAAGCATTCCTATTTCATTCTGTGCTACCCTGAAGCAGGCGAGGAGCTGGAGACTCTTACCTTCTTCTCTAAAGATGGTGATTCATGTTTTCCCAAACTGGTATCCCATCCCAAGGGTCCTGTTGTTGTTGTAAGCGACAGAAGCATCACTTACCTTTAGTGAGATTTAGTATGAACAAACATTTCCTGCATAAAACACAGTAAATACTTGTCTGAAATAGTGCAACTTTGAGTTAACTAAAGCAAACAATAGATGCAGCATGGTTTATATAATTTGTTAGACTTTGCTGAATTACGTCCCATTAAAGTATTCCTGTTTCTTTTGTAAGAGAGACAAGTGTAACTGATATTTAAATAATTTAAATAATAATGTTTTTTGACATTTGCCAACATGGGCAATAAGCTTTTAATGACATTTGAATTAAAGCATATGAATCCTTTTTCATATGACATAATATAGTAAAAACTTTCTTTGGTCTTGTAATAAAAGATCTCACTGGGGCCGGTTGTTCAAAAGCAGGTTAAATTTAACCCTGGGTTAGTGCTAAACCTGGGTTAAAATCCTTAACCCTAGGTTAGCTAAACCTGGGTTAAAACTGTGTTGTTCAAAGCAGGGTTAGCGGTAGGGTTAGTTAACCCAGGGTTAAAATATTTAACCTAAGATTAAATGTATTTTAAGCACTAAATTGGATATAAGAACGTTTTCGATTGGTCAATAAACGAGTGTTACGAAATGCGTATATATAATGTAATTTAGTATTGTTAAGAAATAGAAGGTCAATATAGATGAGGAAATTACTTGGGGCACATGTCACATAAAATGAAGTGTAAAGCAAATATTATTATGACCCTTCGAAATCACAAAATTACTTTTCCTGTCATGAGGTTACAGCCCATGGGATTTTCTCCGAAACAATAGTATGTCGTACAAAGTACAAGTGTCACGACTCAAAAACATAAGTTCTTGGCGGATACTAGTTTATGTCAATCATTTCTTTGTTATATTTTGCTCGGTTAAGCACTTACGTCACAAAACGCTTAATTCGATGAAATTATTAGTAAAATAGTTTATAAGTTGAGATACGGTTCACAGAGTAATAAGTTGATAATTGTACTTTAAGTTAATGATAAATATTTTAAGTTGTGAACAAATTTTAACAGTGATCGATTAAGTAAAAGACCAACGTGACTAGTGCGTCACCGGCCTTAAGTAAACAAAGTATGAGAGCTGGACCGAGCTTCTAACGCCAACCCACACTTACAACCTACAACGCTGATTGGATTGTGTGAATCACACCATCTTGCACAGGGCGTCTTCAAGATCCCCTCAAATTTTATTATAAAAGGAGGCGCACAGCAACAGAACATTCAGTGGACTAAACACGAGAGTGGACTAAAAGGAGTGGACTAGCTTAGTAAAAAGCATATGAAACGTTAAGAAGCTCAACCTGACAGAACGGACGATCAGACAAGAACTCAAAAACGACGAAGATCAGAAGATCAAGTGAAGAGTGGAGAATCCAGAAAAGAAACTGAACATTATTGAACTTTAGTAAAACCATTGTAAAGATCTCCTACCTTGCGCATATACAAATGAAAACTTACTTAACACGAGCGTCAAAACTTTACCCGACGAGGATATATTGTTAGTCGAAAGATTATATGCCGTGAAGGCAGGGTCGCAGAGACGTTGTTTGAACAGCAATTTCCGTGCATGGAATTTTGGAAAGATTCGAAATGAAAGGCCATTTTGTATGATAAACAATGTCGATGTGAAATAAAATTAAGCAAATTATGAACAATCTATTTTAAAATTTCAGGCATTCTTTGATTATTCAAAATTCAAGAACAAACGTAGCCTTACCACTTTTTTGGCATCCGAAACAAATATTTCGATTACGATGTTTCAATTTTTACGGTTGTATTCATTTATCGTGTATTGCATTGAAGCGAAGTTAAATAAATCAATATATTCATCAGCTCAAACCGAACGAAGTCAATCTTAAATAATTCTTTGCTGTCGAAATTATTCCTAAAACCTTTCAAAAGTGTTTAATTCATGACGAATTTCACGTGTTTACGTGTTTCAGCACCTTATTCATCCATTTTTAATCGAAGTTAACCCAGGATTAAAAAGTTAACCCACCTATCTAGCAGGGTTAATTTTTTATCAATTTTAACCCAGGGTTAACGCTAACCGAGCTTTGTGCAACGCAAATCAACCAAGGTTAAAAAATTTAGCCCTGGGTTAGGCATTTTTAACCCTATATAGGTTAGCGTTAACCGGCTTTTGAACAACCGGCCCCTGATAAGTCCACTCTAATTATCCTAGGATTTGTCATTAACTTGGTAACAATGACTATCCAAGTTACAAAAGAGAAAAAAGAAAAAAAAATTTTGTTTGATGTTATTGAATGTCCAGTGTTTCAAGTTTATTCAAACTGCGCCCGGCTCCACCGCGTTACCAGACAACATGGGATGTTAGCAAGGTCTTAAGCTGGTTTTCCACTAGCGATATTTTTCGCGCGAAGCGACATTTTACTTTTGTTCCAGAGCTCTCAACTGCAACCATCTGGAACAAATTGCTCAAATACAAAAGAATAACGTCGCTTCGCACGAAAAATATCGCTAGTGGAAAACCGGCTTTGGAGTTTTTTTCGAAATGGATAAAGTCTGTTTTGGTAGCTGTAGGTTTAGATGTTAGCAAATTTAAAGGTCATAGTGTTCGAGCAGCAACTACATCTATTTTAGCGTCCAATAACTGTAACATTAAGGATATTATGTTATCTGCAGGATGGTCGAATGAACAGACATTTCAACGGTTTTATAATAAACCGAGCGAGGAGGAATTTAATTTTGGCGCTTCGGTGTTAGAGTGCTATACAAACGCGTTAATTGTTCCTAGGATATATAATATACTATTTATATAATATACTTCTCTGTATATCGAGATGTCTTTCCACTTGGTTTTATCACGGTGGCTATAGTTAGAGTGGTTTGTGGATCTCTGCAGCATTAAAATTAAGTCTTGCTGCAAGATTAAAATTTGTTACTGACAGCTTGTTGCTCCATGTTATTTGATCAATAACAAATTTTTAGGAACAGTTCAACTTTCTTAAAGTAATATCACGTTTTTCAAATAATCAATAGCGCTGGGTTGAGCGAGTGGTCCAGTTTTTCGCCTTGCAGCAAAGATTGTGTTAAGGAAAGGCGAATATATTGTTTCTCTTCAAACCACGCTGACTATCCTGGGGCATCGTCGCATGGCGTGGAATCTCAATGGCAGAATTGCACGAACGAGGAATGTTACAGTAGGTCCTTTACTTCGAGCACTTCAATTTATCGGATATCAGTGACATACGTAGATCAGTGGCTGAGAAGTTGTCTTTTCCTGTCGTGACTCGTGTAAGTCGTGTTGCGTGGCGATGTCTTGATCCCACACTGTGTTGACCAGTGTTGGCATGTGCGGTGATGCTGAGTCATTCGGCCACATTTGGGGCAAAACAAATCTTTTAACATTTTCAATGATAGAGACCTTCATCCTGTAAAAATACGAATACCTGCCCGTCCTCCCCACGGACCTCTACGCTTATGAGAGAACCAGTGACACATATATAGCTAGATATAATTGTATGAGTCATTGACTAGAACGCAACCAATGACCTAACCCCGCAAGCTAGCCTTTTCCACCTTCGCTCCACGGCCCACGATGGCTTGGCAGGTTGCCAATAGCCTTTCAGAAATACAACCTCTGAGCTCGTTTATCCTCGTTAAACGCCTATATTTTCTCGTTTCAGCTGCTGTTGCTGGTCACTGGGGTCGCTGGTCCTCTTGGACAGAATGCGATGAAAATTGCAAGCGTCATCGATCCAGAAAATGTTCAGATCCCGCCCCGATACATGGCGGGAACGACTGCTCAGGGGTTGCGAAGGAAGAAAAAGATTGCTACGCCAACAGTACATGCAACCCAGGTTTGTTTTTTGGAACAGATCATTTCAGCTTGGTTAGACAACATCTTGTCTCTGCCTGCTCATCATGTTTGAAGAGCGTTTTAGCTGCTCAGGCGAAGTCTCGTTAAACTAATGATGGAATATTCTCAGTTTTATTTCTTGGTAGATAACTGTGATTGTCCATGTATTGAAATACATCGTTCGACACAACTTCGTAGGATTAGTTTGTTCTTTGATTAGTTTGTCCATGCATGAGGGTATAGGAATAACAGGTCACTATTCTAAACCAGGAGCGGGAGACACAGGAGGGTTGAGGGCCCCTCCCTGGCCTAAAAGTAAATTTGTTCTACCGCCCCGTTGATTTAGACTCAACCTTGTAGTCCCAGCTAGCAGTTTTATTTTGGAGTAAATATGAGGCAATGACCAAAATCATCCAATATCATTCGATACTTTCCAAGCATCTTTGATCTTCGAATGTTTACTTAAAACGGTTTTATTCCTGTGGAAAAACTACTGCTTGTTCACATTCTTACGTGACAAATTTTTGAAAAATTACTGATAAATTTTCATTTAGGTGGAATTTGAAGCAATTCGTGGACGATCTTTTTATTCTGACATGGCTTTGGATGACATCCATTTCACGGAAATGCCCTGTGGTAAGTCGCTACATTCTGGGATAAACATGATCATTTTAGTTCATCGATGGTCCTCAAATTAATGTACATCTCTGATTGACTCTGAAACTACTTAAGGGACCCCCACTGGTTCTTCCGATAGATGAAGGAGGGCCTTTGATAAGACCAACAATGCCTTGATCCTTCAATAAAACATGATTCTCGCGATGGTAGAAATTGGAATCATTTTTTAATGCTAACAGTGGTTTTGCATTTGAAACATTGATTAAACGAGAATGCGAGTTGGCAAACAAAGGTTAATTTTTCTGCATGAGGGATTTTTTTGATGAACTATCAATGCTTGGTCAAACGTGAACAAGAGTTCTATGCGATTTAAACCGAGTTGACTGGCCATTGATCAGAATTTAGGACATCAGATAACAACCGACTTTCACTGTAATTTTTTAAATATAAAATTAAGTACACATCAATGACTTTAGTGTCCATTAACAAAGATAAATATTCAAGTGAACTTTCTACAGTAAAGAGGGGCTCATGTTTTGAAACAAAGATACTTTGTTACAGCAAGCTTATCTTAAACGAGCTTTACAAAAGCTCTTTGTTCAAATGACAATTGTTCGGTTCTTGAAATCAACACACAAGGCAAACGTCAAACACAGCTCTTCGTATATATTTAGGTGTACAACACTTGGGATGTTTTAACGATCGTTATAAAAGAGCTTTGCCAGACTTGATCGCGAATCTCCGGGACAAAATAGATTGGTATGACATGCAAAAGACCGTCAAAGAATGCGCCTGTGTTGCTTATGACAAAGGATACAAGGTATTTATAAAATTATTAAAATACCAGACCAGTGCAAGGCTTTCATGTTTGTCTCAGGCCTCAATAAAGTCAATTATAACTGGACCATCCACAACATGGATATTTTGAACCAATTCCTCTCATGTTTACAGTAATAATACTGCATTGCGTTAACCTAATATAAATTTCGCTTCCATTTTTCAATGAACAAGCATTGACTATGTTGTTATTTAGTATTTTGCTGTGCAGTTTTATGGAGAGTGTTGGGGCGCAAGAAGTATGATTGAATATGACAAATATGGTGCTTCCAACGACTGCTGGTCTGGTGTCGGAAAAGATTTCACGAATTATGTTTATAAATTCACGAAATAAGATACGTTTTATTTTCATTCTATCTATATCTTAGCATTCCCAATATTTTAGGATTAAGCCACTAGTATGTAGGAAATTGCATGACAAAAGTCACAAAGATTGGAAAGAAGAAGACTTGCGTCCGTGCAAATCTATTCTTATAGAGAGTTTACCGTTCAGTATTGTATACATATTTATTTTAATTTTGAATAGAAACAGCCCACTATTGCGTTTAATGATTATTTGAAGCAAATAAAATAATTGACATCTATTAATATTAGCACTGATATCAATACGAGTATCATATTTCTAATGCAGACATCACTCTAACACAAACATATCTCTAATACAAACATCTCTCTAATACAAACATCTCTCTAATACAGACATCTCTCTAATACAGACATCTCTCTAATACAGGCATCTCTTTAATACAGACATCTCTCTAATACAGACATCTCTCTAATACAGTCATCTCTCTAATACAGACATCTCTTTAATACAGGCATCTCTTTAATACAGACATCTCTCTAATACAGACATCTCTCTAATACAGTCATCTCTCTAATACAGACATCTCTCTAATACAGACATCTCTCTAATACAGACATCTCTCTAATACAGACATCTCTCTAATACAAACGTCTCTCTAACACAGAAGTCTCTCTAATACAAACGTCTCCCTATTACAAACATCCCTATCTCTACACTACAGACATTTTAACTTTTGATTGATGTGAAGGAGGAAATAATAATGACGTAATGATGTATGCGTGCTCTTATCTGAACGTCCATAACTTATCTACTTGTTTGCATCTATCAAAAGAAGAAAACTTGGTCGTAATACAGACATCTTTCCAATACAAACATCTCTTTGACATGACTGCACAATTCGTCAAGTCAAGACAGGTTGAAATTCATCCCCAGTTATTATTAAAAAGGACAGGCGTGCATTTATTGAGTTCATTGAATCGAGCCAAGCACAAACGAGAACTCTTGGCTGAGTTAAAACTTCAAGCTGACTTCAAAAGACGGTTTACATTACCAGAAAATCATGTATCACCACAATTAAACCTGGGCCTAATCACACCTGATCTCTGCCAGTCGAGATGCAGAATTTGTAAAGGTACGTTAGGTGAACTGTTATTATTTTATCTCTGTTCTGGCATTACACCAGTTTTCCCACAAGACTTAATAAGTGAGAGGCGAGATTGCCCAACTAATGGTGCTCAAATCTTTCAACCTATGTAGATAACTGTCATTTCACGCTGGAAATACTGTCAGTGGCTCTGTAAATAAGGATGAATATTTACAAAGGACCATCAGAAACAGGAAAAACTGGTATCGATCAATATCATATTACTAGAACGGGTAAGAAATACAAGTGATTCATCATCACAATTTCTCATTATTAATCATCACACCAGATATCACCTTTATTCCATTCGTCATACTCGTTATCCATCGTTGTCCATAATTGTTCACCGTTATCCATCGATCATACATTATCATACATAGCTATTTGTTGTGGTCCATTATTATCATCCAATGTGTATACATATTAATACATTATTATCTCTGAACATCAATTATCATCCCACCTTGGTCACCTGTTATTACAGTTTCTATCGTTCCTCTTTATATTAAAACCATCTGCAACGATGCCAAAGATATTCATTATTGCCAGAGCCCAAAATCGTTACTGTCAGCTATACCATCAGTTTAATGTGCATACAATATCAAAAGTTTATATTTATACCCACCATGGGCACAAAATAGCTCTAATTCAGTTCCTAGTTACAACAACCGCCACTACCAAAATATAACAACGCGCAATCCAGCTTAGTTTTAAACCTAATTTCGGTCGGTATTTTTAGCCATTATAACGACTTGTTTCATTTTCGCATTTCGCGGAAAACCGGACGGTGACACAGCTCAGAACAACGGATATTTAGTTTCCAATAGCAACGATACCATCTTCCGTTAGAAATCTAGGCTCATGAGATCAGACACACGATAACACACCTAATCTTAATAAGATGAAAACAAATAAATATTCCCAGATGATTGTGGACAAAACTTCCCTTGCGAATGAAGTGTAAATATAGTGCAATATTTGCATAATGTAATATCCTGTTCCAATATAGTTTAGATAAAGGAACTCTGACACTATAAATTTAACCAACCCTTGAATCAGTTGGATGCAGCAACCAGGAACACTCAACTTCGACACAAGAATTGTTCGTGCACGAGTTTGTGTTTATCCTGTGTTCGTGTTCAGTCGAAATTAAGTATTAGCTTGTGTCTTCAGTAAAAATGGACAGGCTGGCTGGCCCGCTCTGCGAGATCCTGCTCGAAAGAGGGAGATCTTGCTTAGCGGGATAAAAATATTTTCATATAAACTCTCTCAGCGGGCTGGCCCGGTTACCGGAGTAGAACCAATTTTTACAATTTTTGATGTTCCTCAGCGTTTCTTTTTATAGTTTTGAACACTACATGATTAAAAACGAACAAACGGTGGCAACGTACTTTACTAAATGCTGATACTAATGTAATATAAACTTCAAACAAACTTCAAACGCAAAGCCAATAAAGGCGTTGTAAATAATCTCTATCCCGACGACAAGTTTATCCCGTTTCCCGGCTGGCCCGCTGACCTAGTTTTAAACCTAATTTCAGTCGGTATTTTTCGCCATTATAACGAATTGTTTCATTTTCGTATTTCGCGGAAAACCGGACGGTGACAGCTCAGAACAACGGATATTTCGTTTCCAATAGCAACAATATCATCTTCCGTTAGAAATCTAGGCTCATGTGATCAGACACTCGATAACACACCTAATCTTAATAAGATGAAAACAAATAAATATTCCCAGGTGATTGTGGACAAAACTTCCCTTGCGATTGAAGTGTAAATATAGTGCAATATTTGCATAATGCAATATCCTGTTCCAATATAGTTTAGATAAAGAAACTCTGACAATGTAAACTTGACCAACCCTTGAATCAGTTGGATGCAGAAACCAGGACTGAACACTCAACATCTACACAAGAATTGTTCGTGCACGAGTTTGTGTTTATCCTGTGTTCGCGTTCAGTGAAAATTAAGTATTAGCTTGTGTCTTCAGTAAAAAAACTCGTTATGTCTTCAATTGTGACAAGTATTCTCAGTTCAACAATTGGTTTATTATGGAATAAAGTCAGAGACTCGACGGCAGACAAACTCAAAGACGGCGATGTAACCGATGCAGAAATTCGTAAGATTGTCATACGCGACGTAAATGATATCAAGTCTAAAATCGATGGCCTTTCCCGATCAACTTTACTCGCCAGTTATAACTTGCTAGAAGAAGGAGTAGAGTTACTCAGTGTCTCTCTTGATAAATCAAATGCCGAGCAGAAAGCGAGCGAAACTCAGGACGAACCAGGTGAACCTTCGAGCGTTATTCAGTCTGGTATCTTAACTTACCAAGCAATACAGCTTCCTCGCGCCATCGAAAAGCTTAAAATCAACTCGGACAGAGATTTTGAAACTGCTAGAAAAAGATTCGAAAAAGCACGCGAGACAGCAACCACTGCTTTCTGGAATGAGTCATTTAGTATATCGAAGATCGAATTCTTGCCGCGAAGCTACGAATAGTTTCAGAAATACTGGAACATGTCGATAGTCCTGGGACCGCAATCACTGGGTGTTTGTCGTTTTTAAAGAAGCTTCATAGCTTACCAGCCATTCAAGAGATATTCTCGGTGTATTTGAACGGTGGAGTCAAATCGTTGTTGAATAAAACTCAACGAGTGGAGAACGTCAAGTCGGTTATGTTAATCAACTATGTGTTGTTTCAATATGTTCGGAAATTCAGCAGCAAATATTCGTTTGAAGTGTTCGCCTGCATGCCAACGATTGAACTTGCTGATCGTAGTTTTCACCCAATAAGAAATTGGAAGGAAATTTCAACAAGAAAGTCTATGGGAGAGGAATTGTCTCATCCTCCCTACGAACAGTTCCTTGATGAAGAAATAATACCCGACTTATCTGCTGTGAACAGTCAGGGGGATGTTGTTACTGTCTCTGGGTTTGTGTCTCGTGGCGACATCATGATTATCCATGAGACAGGAGAAATCAAACGGGTTGAAATACCTGAATTTGCAGGTGATATTTTAAAGGCGCTTGCTGTTGATATAAATAACAATGTTTACGTGGCGAGAAAACGTTCAGATGAAGTATTCATGTTGACGATATTGGACGAGAATTACAATGTAAAAGCAAATCATGCATTGGATTTTCTCAAGGAAAAAGATTTTTCTCTAGTTGAGATCGCGATATACAAAGACGATGATATTATCATCATCACACACAAAGACCCAGACCCTCATGTGTATGTTTGTGACAAGACGGCTAAATTAAAATACAAGTTTAAACGTGACTCGAGTGCGGCATTTTCATTGAGTATTTCCCAGCAGAATGAAATCATGATACTAACAGACGATCATACAGCGGTTCAAATATACACCAAGGAAGGAAATCTGAAGACAACAATAAAAGTCCCAGAAGATCATAAGGTATGGAGCGTGGCATTTCACTACGAAATTTGTAAAATATTGGTTTTAACCAGGGTTAAGGAAAAAGATTCCTATTTCATTCTGTGCTACCCTGAAGCAGGCGGGGAGCTGGAGACTCTTACCTTCTTTTGTAAATATGAAAATTCCTTCCTTGGCCTCATTACGTATCTGTTATCCCATCCCAAGGGTCCTGTTGTTGTTGTAAGAGGCAGAAGCATCACTTACCTTTAATGAGATTTAGTATGAACAAACATTTCCTGCATAAAACACAGTAAATACTTGTCTTAAATAGTGCAACTTTGAATTAACTAAAGCAAACAATAGATGCAGCATGGTTTATATAATTTGTGAGACTTTGCTGAATTACGTTCCATTAAAGTGTTCCTGTTTCTGTTGTAAGAGAGACAAGTGTAACTTATATTTAAATAATTGAAATAATAATGTTTTTTGATATTCGCCAACATGGACAATAAGCTTTTAATGACATTTAAAAGCGTATGAATTCTATTTCATATGATATAATATAGTGAAAACTTTCTTTGTTCTTGTAATAAATGATCAGGTTCTTAACATAATTTAAACTTATGAAACCACCCCTGGCTAAGCTTAGAGCTATGAATCATATTATTAGTGGGTATATTGATGGCTTCTATCTGC